TCCCCCCAGACTAGATCACAGCCACATGCCCGGTGCCTGCATTCAGTAGGCACTCAACACATGTGCGCTGAAGGAACAGATCAAGTGAAGGAATCCGGGACACAGTTCTGAAGAGACGTCCTTCAATTGTCCATTTACTCAGGCAGTGACTTCTGAACCAGTACTTACGGGGTGTGAGGTCCTAGACACACATCTGTGAGCAGGACCCAGAGGTCCCCACCCCGTGGAGCTGGGACTCACAGGAGGGCCACGAAGCTACCAAGCAGACCGACACGACAATTTGGGATGGTGACGGGTTGTCTGAAGCACTTGAAACAGGGTGAGGAGTGAGGCCACCATAGCCAGGGGCGCCAGGGAGGGCTTCTTTGAGGAGGTGACCTCTCTGCTGGGACCTAAAGGCTGAGAGGGAGCCTCATGGGAGGCGTGCGGGAAGAGCATGCCAGGGAGGGAGAGGGCACGGCCAGGGTGGCTGGGGACCGAGCTGGCAGCGGAGGAGCATGGATTCCTCTGGCCCTTCCGTGCTCCTCTGGGCCACCCGGGCACATCAGGTGGCCACCCTGGGCCCTGGGCATGCTCACCGGTGAAATGAGAGAGTCGGCCTCCCATCTGGCGCAGACAGGCTGGTCCCCAGACTGGTTCCCTCCTCCGGTCGTCCGTCCCTCTTAGGTATAAACTCAACATTCCTCATCCTGGGCTATTTTGCCATTTCCTTTCGTGCTAAACCAAAGGGTCTATTTTGGAAACTCCTATAAGCAAACTAAGCCCTGCCTGGCATCTGAGTGGATATAAAAGAGCCCTAAGTGAGGGACTCAGGCTTAAAAGCCACCCAGCCCTGAGAGCCCACGCTGCTAAATTTAGAAGCATCACCTCCAAATGAGGTGAAATTGTAGGTTCCCTGGGCCGGCGGGCGGCTCTGGGCAGCAGTGAGCTGGACAGATTTAGCGAGTGGGCTCAGGCTCCTCCAGGCCCGCCGCCTCGGGGTGGAGGCCCAGGACTCTGGCTGGGGTTCCGGGGTTCGGGGAGCAGCTGGCCGTGTGAGAAGCGCCTCCAGCTGTGTCCAGGCCATCCATCTAAGGAGCGTGCCCAGCGCAGGGCCCAGAGAGGCAGCGAGGGACGCGGGGGAAGAGGCAGTCCCGTCTGCCGTCAAAGGTTTGGCACCTGCACGACCTCCGTGCCTCTCTCCTCTGCCCAGGGCCCAGCGAGGTCTCCGGCTTGTCTCTCATGCCCTGGGCGGGCCGGCTGCCCAGAGCTGCCCTGAGCCTCTGAGTGTCCCTCCCGGGGACTTCTCCGACCTGCCCACCATCTAGCGGCTAAAGGGTTAAGGCCAGCCACGGCGTGGGGAGGGGGAGGAGCGGGGTCTGTTCTGAGTGGTCAGGGCGCCTGTGAGTCAATGATTAAACATTAGGGATATCAGCCTTAGTCGGATGTGGCCAGCACTCCTGGGGGCTTGTCAGGAGCTACCCACCAAAGGCTCCTGCGATTCCAGGGGTCTCAGCCTGGCCACCCCACCCGCAGTCCACCAGAAGGGAAATGCTTTTGCAGCCAGAAACCCAGCTGGGCGAGATTGCAGCTGGCCACCTGGGCAAACACCAGGATTAGCCCTGGGGGGAGGGCTGCTGGCCCCACTTGGGGGGCAGCTGAGCTGACTAGGAGCTGATGCTCATCCCAAAAGGCCCACAGGGACTTGGGTTCCCACAACCTGAAGCTTGCAGGAGATGGGGCTTGATTTTTCTTGGGCACCCCCGATGCTATGTTTGTAGCTTGCAGGTCCCTTTCATGACCTGCTTCCATTCTGGGGCCCCCTTGTCTGCCCTTCAGCCCAACCCATGGGTCGGGCTCATGCGTAGGAGCATGTCTGCTGCACAGCCCCCCCCCCCCCCCGGGATGGGGGAGCAGGGGCAACCTAACACGAAGTGGCCAGGCTTTTATGACCTGTCACGCCCAGGTCCAGATCCCAACTCTGGCATCTCCTAACCTATGTGACCTTGGCCAAGTCCTTTCCTCTCCGTTCTGAGCCTCGATTTCTTTATCTGCAGATGGGGGATATGAAGAGTACTTACTTCATATAATCTGGGGGGAAGTAAATGAGATTTTAAGCCCTTAGAGCAGGCGGCAGGAGGACCACTGGCTGCCAGGGGCCAGAGGTAGTGTTGGCCACTCAGGGGTCGCTTAGTAAGAGCTGCGGCTGTTGTAAGTACCGTTGCATGAGAACAGAGCCATGCTCATCACTTACATGGTGCCTGTGGCTGCTTTTGCTTTAAAACGAGAGAGTCGAATGTGCTCTTCTGTGACAAAGAGTCTATGGCCTGCAAAGCCAAAAACTTTAGTATCTGGTCCTTTACAGAAAATGTTTGTCAGCCCCTGCCTTGGAGTCTAGCACTTAGTGGAAATTCTTATCCTTATCCTTATTTTTCCACTTATCTGGCACCATGGGCTGCACAGCCTGGTACAGTGGGGGCAGCAGCCCAGCCTGTCAGGCCTTGTTCTCTGGACCCGTAAGGATGGGCCGTGAATCTTTCCAGCACCAGGGAACACTCCAGCCCCGCCTGCAAGTCGCTCTCCATCTAGTGGGGGAGACTGAGAAGTCAGCATTCACAGTCCACTGTAACTGGGGGGGGGGGGGTTATGGGAAGGGCGTTCCAGCCCCCTAGCCCCCAGCTCCCAGCTCCCAGCTCGGGGCCAGAGTACTGGTCCCAACCAGTGACCTTGCAGATCTGCCTCCCTGCCCACCCCTACCCTGGTCAGTTCCCCTGCCCAGCTCAGCTGGGGGCCTTCAGGAGTCTGAGAAGGTTCCCAGTGCCACCCTGAGCAGGTACTGACAGTGGTGGGGCAATGCTGTGCTGATAAATGTTTAACAACCTGCAGAGAAAAACAAAAACAACAAAACCCCAAACCCAAGCTTGCAGCATTTGCCAACATCCAGGGTGCAAATATTCCTACTGTGACTGATTTCAAGCTACCAAAATTTCAGAGAACGTAACAACGGACGCTTGTGTGCTGGTCCGGGCTGGCAGCAGCCCAGCACAGGTGGGGACAGTGGGGACCTCCTCGTGGGGCTGGGGCCTCGCCTAGAGCGGGGACGTCTGACTGCACGTAGGAAGAAGCGCTGGCGTCGGCAATCCATCGCACTCCACTTCCGTACGTGTCTCTGTTGTTTCCAGGCCAGTCCTGTCCCCTCAGTTCCTCCTCTGTCAGGGCAGGTCAGCGATAGCTCCCTCTGCCTCAGCCGGTGTGTAGATTTAATAAGACACTTTCCACAAGGCATTTTGAGCACACGGCCGGCTGCATAAGGAGCCCTCATAATGCTCCCAGCAGGGCTGGTGTTCGTGGACCCTGGTGCTGGGGCTTGCCACACAGTGGGTGCTCAGCAAACGCTCGCCGGAGCCCCACCCCCCGCACCCCTCCGTCCAGGGCTGGAGCTTCCATCAGCCAATTGCACAGAGACAACCAACTCTTTCCAAGTGTCCGCCTTGCATTATGTGTCCTCAGCACCTTGTCTCCTTGGTCCTTTTCTGACTTTCCATTTTGCAAATGTGACCACTGAGGCCCAGAGCCGGTGAGGGGCACCAGGGATTTTGAACCTGTAGCACACGTTGGGTGGGTGGGAGGTGAATGGGGGAAAAAGAAGGTTTGTGGGGGCCACACAGATCCGCCAGGGGGGCTCAGAAGCCTATGGCAGGGGCTGACCACATGCAAAATGCAGGATGGGACACTGGATAGACGTGGCTCGAAAGAGATTTTTATTCCCGGGGTGGGGGCCAGGGGAGGCCCTGGTGTGAGCAAAGGTGTGGACACTGGACTCAGCCGGCCAGAGAAGGGATGTTGGAACGCAGGGGCCTTACCCCGCAGGGAGATGAGGGAGCTGGCGCAGTGGAGCTTTTGCAGGTGAGGCTTGGGCAGTGGGGTCCCTGGCATCCTTGCACTGCCTCCACCCCGGCTGAGGAGCAAGGAATGAAACTGTAGCTGCAGAGATTTAGGTTAGATACGGAGAATCTTCCGCTTGTTGGTGCTGGAAGACACTGGGCCATATTCCCAAGGGATGTGGTGGCATTCTTCCAATCTAGAGGTGGTTTGGAAAAAAGAAAAGACAGTCAGGGTTCTAGGCTGGCCTCACTGCAGCCTGGGGCAGAAACTGGGCGATGGAGCCGGGGATTCTGGATCCCTGGGTTGCCAGCAGCCTGGCCTCATGTGGGTTGGGCTTTGTCAGCCCCCACTCAAAACCTCATGGCTCCTAGTCACCCTGGCCCAACGGCAAGGCCAAACCCTTTCCTGGGGTTACCGAGGCCTCCCCATGACCTGCACTCTGCGGGCCTCTCCAGCCCCGCCGGGGGTCATGCCCCCACCCAGCGCACTGCTTTCTGTTTCCGGATGACACCATGTCCTCTGCACTCCCAGGCCTTTGCCTGTGCTGTTCCCTCTGCCTTTACCCTTCCCTCCCCTCCTCAGCCTTTTGTTCTCTGCACTTGGTCACCTCCTCCATGGCGAGGTCAGGTAGGCCCTGGGCTCCCCTGTCTCTTCACTAGAGGCTTCCTACTGTAACCAGTAGCTCATCAGCCTCCCCGCCAGACTGGGAGCCCTGGAGGGACCTTGCCTGTCTTGCCCAGTGCGTGTCCCCAGCGTCGCGTTTGGCACACAGCGCTCACTGAGGGTTTGTGGAGGGAGGGGAGGGTTACCGGCTGAGAGGAGGTCAGAAGGTCTGGTTTCAGGAGGAGCTGACTCCCCCCTGCTGGAGGGCTCAGCATTGCTCCGGCATTAAGAACCTGAGCACAGAGTAGAGACCTGGGTTCGAATTTTGCTCCTGCCACCAGCCCCCAGCAGGGTCCCTAACCTCAGTAAGCCTCAGTTTTCTCATCTGTCAGCTGGGGACAGGACAGTCGCCCCCTCTCTGTGGCTCTTGTGAGGCCTCTGGGGGCCGTGGTTGGGGGCGGGGGGTGCGGGCCGCCGTCTGCGCTCAGCAGGTGGCGGCACGAGGCTGACCCTCCTGTCCTCTCCCCATCTAGGTGACTGGCCATGTCGGTGAGGCTGCGGTTCCTGTCCTCCGGGGACGCGGGGGCCGTGGGGGTCGTGGGCCGGAGCGCCTCCTTCGCGGGCTTCAGCAGCGCACAGAGCCGGAGGATCGCGTAAGTTCTGCCCTGGGGGAGGGGGCCGGCCGCTTGGCCGGGACCCCGAAGCTCGCTCTCATGCGGAGTCTCGGGCCTGGCATGGCACGTGTGCACACCTGGCACAGGGGGGACCCTGTAACTTCTTGGGGACCCACTGGGATCATCTCAGTTGGTCCTGGAAGTCCGATCCGCCTGAGTGCATCAGGCCCACCGGCAGATCAGAAAGCAGGCGCAGAGAGGTGGAGCTGCTCAGCCTGGGTCACACAGCAGGACTGGTTCAGAACTGGAACCTGGTCTCCCGGGGGTGGGGTTAGGATGGAACGTTTTTCCTGTTTGACACAACCGGGACTTGGGGCCACCTATCCCAGCTCCGCGATCTGGGCCAGTGACTTCACCCCTGAGTCTCGGTTTCCTCATCTGTGAAATGGGGATCATGAGTGTCCCTCCCCCACAGAGCGGTCATGAGAGTACAATGAGGTGACACATGGCAAGCAGCCGGCACGCGGTAGGTGCTGGGGAGAAGTTTTCAAAGGAGGAGGAGCAGCCTCTGCAGAGATGGGCCTGGGGTCAGTGCGGGGCCTCTAGACACCAGTTAATGGCTGCTGTGAGTTTCCGTTCCTGGGGGGCCACTGCCTGGTCCTGGGCTTCCTGCCAGGCACCGGGCAAGCCTGGGGGGTTGCTGCCCGCTGGCAGGCCTGGGGGCTGGGGTGGTCTCTCGGGCACCCTGAGGGGCCCACACATCTGCTGGTGTCAGTGAATGTGGGAGATAAGCAGGACTCCCAGCCCAGCAGGACCCCGCACCGTTGGTCAGTGAGTCAGTCAACAACCAAATCTCCTCCAGAGACTGGCATCCACCTAGAATACAATGCAGTCCCCTCTCGTGGCCTAACGAGTGGCCCCCTGGGATCTGGCTGGCCAGCCTCCTTTTGAAATCCTCTGCTTTTGCCACATTGACCTCTCTCCCCTCCAGGCCTCTTCCCTCTTCTCACTCCTGTTTTCCTGGCCAGTTGCTGCTTAACCACCCTGGGCCCTCCTCTGGCTCATCCCTGGGGTTTAATAGCTGCATGTTCGACGCCCAGGGATGCCTGGCCCCTGAGGTCAGGCTCTCCCAGCTCGCCCACTCGGCTCCCGGTGGCTCAGTTCCAGTATGTGCCTGGGAGGAGTGGCATCTCAGGGCTGAAACCCTCGAGCGTCCCAGGTGGAAGCACCCTTAGGAATCCCTAATTCATCCCACAAATATTTATGGAGCATCTACTCTGCCCAGGCCCCACCCCAGGCTCTGGGGACAGACCCAGGCCCCACCCCTCCTGTCAGAGCAGCGAGCAAGAAGCCAACTGTAATCAAGATGGATTCAGCTGGCGGCAAGTGCTGTGAGGGAATTAAGACAGGGGGCTGGGGGAGGCGGCAGGGGTCTCAGAGGAGGCCCTCAGTGAGGCAGTGGCACGTTTGAGGCCAGAGAGAAGCTGCCTGTTTCCTGCAGGCAACCAGCGGGGCTGAGGAAGTCTTCCAGGTGGAGGGGGCAGCCAGTGCAAAGGTCTTGAGGTGGGGATGAGGTTCGAGGCCCCAGAGGGAGTGAGCACCCCATCCCCTCTGACTCCCAGCCTCCAAGAGGAGAAAGTGTGGATGCCACTGTGAGGAAGGCATACAGTAGGCACTCCATAAGTGATGCTGAGAGGGGCTAAATAAGTAAACTGGCCAGGGAATGATGATGTTCCTCGATGGAACCACTTCCCAGCTGCCTCTGCTGGGCTTCATCAGAGCCCCCACCCCGCGGGGTCTGTAATTGGGGCTGCTAAGGACAGTTGTGCGGGTCACCCAGCCAAGGGGACCATCCAGCCACGTAACCCTCCCGAGCCGTGTGCCCTGGCATGGGTCCGGTCCACTCAGTGGGTGCCTTCTCTAATTCACATGTGGTGATGTGGGGACTTTGTTCCCCTGGTCTGGCCGGGAAGGGCGGGGGGCCTCCCCAGACCCTGCAGCCAAGGCCAGCTGCATGAGTGTGCAATGTGTGTGCTCAAGGATCCCGGCTCAGGTGTAATGCTCTGTTGTTGCCATCTTGCAATTCTTAACATGTTTTGAAAAATGGGGTCCTGCATTTTCTTTTGTGCTGGGTCTCGTGAATTCTGTGCCTGGTCCTGCCGACAGCTCTCCTCCTGCCGGGCCTTTGGGGGCCTCTGGACCTCCTGCATCCACGGGAACGTTCCCGCAGGCCCCAGCCAGGACCTCTGCCCAGATAGTGTCCCAAGGTGTGCCCCTGGCCTCCTGCTGCCCCAGGGATTCCTGGGTGGTGGTGGGGGGGAGAGGACAGAGGGGATCAGACCCTGTTCCACTAGGGCTCACTGGCCATCAGCAAGGACAAGATCACGCCCTGCAAGGTCTGCATCCTGATCCGAGAAAGATGACTCTGATGGCTGGACCTCCCCTGGGGGCTCCTTCTCCTGGGGGATCCCCCGCTCAAGGGAATTCAGAAGAGCTCCCAGCCTGGATGGGTTCTGAGGTCCCTGAGTGACCACCATCTGGCCCCGGTCGCTCCCGTCCCCTTGTCCACAGTGAGGAAGAAGTACCCATGAGGACAGGGAAGCAGTACATCTATTTTTAACTTCCTGCCTCTGCCCGACTCCCAGGAGTCTGGACCCTGGGCCCTGTGGCTGGACGGCCTAGATCGGGTTTCAGAGCTCACCTTCTGGCCTTATTTCTCAGGTAATGCAACCAGGTTGAGGCACAGCCACATTGCCAAGGCCCTCAGTGGTGGGGGCTGGGCAGGCAAAAAAAACCTCAGACAGGAGAGCAGGAGATGGAGGCTCACGGATCCCCCTTTGTCCTCAACCCCTTCCCCTGTCCTGGCACCTGAAACCCCTTTGCCTCTGGCTGTGGCTTTTCATTCCTTAATCAAAGAATCCACTTGGGGAAGTGATCTATCTGGTGGGGAAATTTTACACTAAGGTGTGAATGATTGCCACAATAAGGCCACATCTAACAGCCATATATAATAAGATGGGGAGATGAAGAGGGCCAGATCTGCCCCGATTCATAGGCTTGGCTGCTCTTAACCCCTTCCTGCCACTCCTCAGCCTGGTCCACTTCCCCCCAGGCAGTCAGGAGGGCGGCCTCCCGAGTAGGAGCCACTGCCCTGTCCTGGCCACGGCGGGAGCCCCTCTGTTGGTTGGGGTGGCTGGGAAATGCGGAGGTGAAAACGGAGCAGTAGCCTCTGATTTTCAAGGAGAGGAGACTGGAGAAAGAGGACATGGTGGTGGTGCTCACACTGCCCTGTGCCAGGGGAGCAGCCGGGGGCGCAGATCTGGGGCCACGGGCAGCCACCGAACCTGTTTCCTTGACCGTAGAGAGGGCGACGCCTCGGAGACACGTGGAAGGACGGGCTAGCCCACGTGAGGCACCCGGAGCAAGCCCGACCTGCGCGCGGGCCCCGTGCGTGTTACTCACCCCCCACCCCCACCCATGCCGCCAGGCGCAGGAGGAAAGGGTGCAGTGGTGGGCAGTGGGTCCTCATCTGAACCGTGTCCTGTAATGGCCCCGTGGCCACTCCCAGCCCCGCCCGCCTGCAGATCCTGCACCCGCAGCAACCACGCACCGGGCCGACGACACCAGGCAGCGAGACTTGTCCCGGGGGCCCCGGGGTGCATGTGCCCATCTGGAAGCTGGTCTGACGTGCCAGAGGCTGTTTAATATTTACTGAGTCCTCCCAGAGCTGGTAAAACATCCGCCCCCGGAGGCCGCTCCCTCCCCTGGCAGTTGTGTCACTGGGCCGGACACGCAGCCTGATTTCGCCATCCCAAGGATGCACGCGTCGCCTTCCCGGGCCGCGCCAGCCTCCGAGCGGCCGCCACGCCCGCCCTGTTAGACCTCAGACCCGAGCACTGGACTCGGAGCCTCCCCGGGAGCCAGGCTCAGCGGCGGCAGCGACGCCAGGAGGTCTCCGGGTAGATGGAAGCGGGGCCCGGCCGAGGGCACCCACCCCCCGGGGACTGTGGACCCCCGGGAGCTGGCAGGTGAGCAGGGCTCCTGCAACCCCACCTGAGGGGCTTGCCCCCCCCCGCCTGCCTGAGAGCCGCCTCTCTGAGGGCTGCAGCCCTGCCAGCTTTGTGGGGGGCCCTGTTCCAAGAGGTGGGTGATGTGGCCTCAGGCAGGTGAGGGAGGAGGGAGCGCAGCCCCGTGGCGGACTTGACAGACATGAATAACAGCAGGAGCACTAGGGGATGAGCACGGATGGACCAGGCTTTGTGCCCAGTGCTGGTCGGGGGGGCCTTCCCTGTTCACCCCCAGGCAGACGTATCATCCTGCGTCTATTCTTCCCCCCGGCACCGCGGGCTGGCTGGTATCTATTATTACCTCATTTAGCTCTGATGCATCCATAGCACTTACCCCTTTGCCGGGCAACTCGCCTGCAGCAACACTTTCTCGGATCCCCATTTTATGGATAAGAAAACTGAGGCACGGGGGGGGGGGTCCTGGTCACACAGCTCTAAGTGGGGTTACCGCAGAGACCCTGACATCTAGCTCCAGAGCCTGTGCTGGCTGCCCCGTGGCCTCCCCCAGCTGGCCTGGCGGCTCACAGGGACACGGGTCTGGTCTGTCTTGGTCACTGTTTTTCCTGTAGCCCCGAGATGGCGTTCGGCGTGCAGTTCGGGCTCAGCAGATATTTGTTGAATGAATGGTTGTCTCATGACAGCACCATGGGGTAGGCGCTCTTTTTTTTTTCTTTTTTTAAAGATTTTATTTATTTATTAGAGACAACACAGGGAGAGAGAGAGAGAGAGAGAGAGAGAGAGAGAGAGAGAGAGAGAAAGGCAGAGACACAGGCAGAGGGAGAAGCAGGCCCCGTGCGGGAGCCGATGCGGGACTCGATCCAGGGTCTCCAGGATCACGCCCCCGGCTGAAGGCGGCGCTAAACCGCTGAGCCACCGGGGCTGCCCTGTAGGTGCTCTTCTCACCCCCTTTTTACAAATCAGGAAACTGAGGCTCCAGTGGGTTAAGTACCTGTGACCTCCGGGGCTGGGACTGGAACCCGGGTGGCTGAGCAGGAGCTCGTGTCTCACGAGACCATACAGGCTCCTGGGGTGGGGGGCGAGGCCCCCGCTCCTCCCAGGTCCTTCCTTGCCTCAGTATCCCCCGGGAGCCAGCTGTGAGTCCGAGCGCGCAGGCAGGCCTGACACCTCTATTTCCCGCGTGTTGGTTTGTGGTGTGGCCGCGCGGCCTGTGGCGGGAGCCCAGCTGGAGGGGTGGCCCCGACGGCTGCCCTCGGCTCCGCAGCAGGTGTGCGCGTCCGAGTGCGGAACGTGCGGCGGCGTCTGGCTGGGCTGGGTCTGCGGCCTGGCCGCCCGCTGGGCCTCCTGGGGCGCCGGCAGCTTCTCCCAGCCCTGCCGAGGGAGCCGGAGCTGTGTCCTGCTTGCAGACCGCAATCCCCCCTCTTCCCGCGGACCCAAGCCTTCGAGGGTGGACCCCAGCCCCGTCGCTCCCCCCATGGGGCCTAACTCAGGGAAAACCCCGCTCTCTGAGCGTCGGAATGAGCCAGTGAGTCCGGTTTCCTTGATTTTAGGTCTCAAAACCAGAGCAAACCCTAAAGGGCTCCCCCAGAGAGGTGCATCCCTGGGGTGGATGGAGGAGGAGGATGTCCTCTGGGGTGGAGCCGAAAGAGTGAATCCCCTAAGACAGTGGTCCTCAATGTGGTCCTCGGACCAGCGGGATTGGCAGCACCTTGGAACATGCTAGATTAGAAATGCAGATTCTCAGGCCTCCCCCCGGCCCTGGTGACCTGGAAGCTGTGGTCGGGGGAGGGCTCCGCGATCTGAGTCTAGGTCCTCCAGATGCTGCTGAGGACCCCGAGGGAGTCCTGCTCCCACATGGGTGCTGCACATCCCGGCTGGGAATCTGCCCACATGTGGGTTTGGGTCCCAGCTTTGCCACCAGCATGACCTGGGGGCAAGTGACTTATCCGAGCCTCAGTTTCCCTACCTTGCAACAGGGTTAAAAATCGATATTTATATAAAACCCTTAGTGGGTGCGGGAAGCAACAGACACTGAGCATCTTCTGTCCTTGCATCATCATTACGCTCCCTCGTCATCCTCCAGGTCTTTGAAGCTCCCCCTCACCTCCTTCCCTCTCTCCCCCTCCCCTTCCCTCTCCCCCACCTCTCTCTCCCCCTCCTCTCCTTCTTTCCCCCTCACCCCTTCCCCCTCACCCCCTCTCTCTCCCCCTCCTCTTTCTCCACCCCCACCTCTCTCTCCCCCTCCCCTCCTTCCTCCCCCCTCCCCACTTCCCCCTCACCCCATTTCTCTCCCTCTCCCCTTCCCCCCACCTCTCTCTCTCCTGCTCCTCCTGCCCCCTCCCCTGCACCTCTCTCTTTCCTCACCCCCCCCACCATTGTCCCACCCCCACCCCTGCTCCCCCTGGACCTCAGAGCAAGCCTGAAGCTGGCTCCTTAGCACACCTGAGAGGAAGTCGGGGAGGAAGTTGGGAAGAAAGGCTAGCAGCTCCTTTAAGAAACTGACCCAGATGTCGGTTTGAGTGTCATTTCCACTCTTGTTTCTTCTGTGGGAAGGTAGTCGTGAAGCCCCACCTGGTGCAGGGGCATCTGGGAAACCGTGTCTTTAGAGGGTGAGCCTCTAGCGGATGGACTGAATCACACCTGGGGGTCAGTGTGTCAGCCACCCTCGTCTCATGCCTAGTGGACAAGACATAGGATCATAGGACTCCAGAAGGGGCTCAGATGCCAGCGAAACCAGCCCTGTCCTGTAATGAGGGTACCATCCCCTGTACGGCTGTAGTCAACCCCGAAACACTGGTGTATCCCTCGAGGGCTGAGACACACAGCTGTCGCTGCCGGGAGACATCAGTTCTTAGGGTCCCTCAGTCCACACCCCCAACTCCAATAGGCTGAAGCAAAAAAAAAGAGAACCAACTGGCTCATGTAACTGAAATTCCATGGGCAGGGCAGGGCCAGCTTCAGGCATAGCTGGATCCAGGAACCCATCATGGTGTGGATTTGGTCTGCCTCCATCCGCTCCTCCCCGCATCGGTTCCTTGGGAGCGGCTGGCAGTTCCAGGTGTATGTTTCCCCAAAAGAGCGATGCCAGAAGAGAGACCCCTTCTCCTGCCCATGAATGTGGAGCCAAACTCCAAACTGGCAGGGTTGTGTCCCATGACTCTCCCTGAGCCCGGGGACGGAAGTATGTTGACTAACCCAGGCCTGGGACACACGTTTGCCTCAGAAGGCCTGTGTATGTGTGTGCAGGTGCGTGTGTGTGGTGATACGTCAGGCCACCTCCCTCCAACCACACATGTAAAGAGCACGTCCTGCTACATGACCTTGGGGAGGTGCCCCAGAGGAAACCAAGGCTCTTCCCAGAGGGAGCGGCGTGGGTCCTGACCCCGAGATCGGGTCTCTGGGGCTGTTGGCCTGCACGAGCACACCGAGCAGGAGGCACTGGCACTTGGGCCGCTTCTGTGTATTTCTCACTGTGTTCGTTTCTCACGTCAGGCTCTTCTTCATCCGTTTTTAATCCTCAGATGCAAGCCCTCGTTTGGGCAGATGTGGAAACTGAGGCCCCAAGAGTCTTGGCAGCTTGCCCGAGACTGCGTGGCTTGGTGGCGACTGGGTGGGGCTCGGCCAGGCGTCCTGACAGCCGAGGCTTGGACCACCGGTCCCAAGGGGCCTGCCCCGGGGGGCCTCTGTCCCGATCCCTGCTCTGACCCGCGTCCCCTCTCACAGAAAGTCCATCCACGGGAACTCCGCGAGGTCTCGAATGCCTGCCAAACCCTCCAGGACGTACGGCACGCTGCGGAAGGGCTCCGTCTGCCCGGCCCCCAAGCCACAGCAAGTGAAGAAGATCTTCGAAGCTCTCAAGAGAGGCCTCAAGTAAGGACCCCGTTTGTCACCCTCAACACGTGCCTTCTCTGTCGCGCCTGCTCGTGCTCTCTGTCCTCCCCGAAGGGCACCCGGCCCGTCCTTGGGACAGGTCCTGTCGGCCACACATGGAGCTCGCTCCTGCTCATTTGCTTTGCCAACACGCCTGTCCTGGGGGCAGGGGGACCCCGGCTCATGGAGCTTGGGGTGTGTGGGGGACAGCAATGAGGGAGCGACACGATCGGTAACGGAACTTCCACCAGCCTTGGGCGCGGTGAAGGAGGGTGACGGAGAGGCCGCGCTTGGACGGCCTATGACACGGGGTGGCCGGGGACACCAGCGAGGAGACGGGATGGTCGTGCTGGCCTCTGGGAGAGAAGCATCCCGGGCGGAGGGAACAGCACAGGCCAAGGCCCTGAGGCAGGAGCAGGGTGGGAGGCCAGCGTGGCTGGATTTGAGAGCAGGAGAGCCGGGCTGGTTAGCCGGGCAGAGGCTGGAACAAGAAGCCTGTCACCCACTCCACACATTTTGGTTGAGGGCTGATGAAGTGCGAGATACGGGGTGCGGGAGTGGACACAGCACGGAAATCCCGACCCCCGTGGAGCTTCCTGATGGGAGACACACAGACCATGAACAAAGTATAGAGCATGTCGGATGGTGGTGAATACGGGGCAGGAAAACAAATCAGGGTAAGAATCAAATCAGCGTGGGGCTGATTTTAAATAAGGGGATCAAAGAAGTTCTCACTAAGGAGGTGACATTTGAGCAAAAACCCGAAGGGGTGAAGGAGTGAGCCCAGTAGACAATGGAAAGAGAACATTCTAGGCCACACGTGCAAAGGCCCTGGGGCAGGAGCATGATGAGATCATTAGGGACAGAGTGCGCTGGCTGGCGCGAGAGCTGAGAGAGGGAAGGAGGGGTGAGGAGGTCCGAGGGGCAATGGGGACCAGATGATATGGGGCCTTGTGAGCACTGAGGATTCACTCCAGCTGAGCTGGGAGCCCTGGAGGCTTCCACCTGGGGGAAGGACGTGATCTGGGTCTACACGTGGAGCATGGGCTGCAGTGGGGCTGAAGTGGGGAGGCCGGCGAGACGGTAACTGCAGGGTCGCGGTGGGAGATGACAGGGGACTTGAGCAGGGGGTAGCCGGCGGGGCAGGGGACGGGATGGGTTTCAGGGTGCCGTTGAGGATTTACTGAGGGAGGGGTGGAGGTGAAGCGAGGGGAGCCCAGCCTCGTGGAGGTGACAGAGGGAGTTGGGGCACGAGCCTGAGGCTCATGGAGGAGGTCGGGGCTGCCCCTCCGTGTTCCTCGAGCCCAGGCGCCCAGTTCAGGGCTTCCCCTCTCCCAGCAGCCACCCCATGTGCCCCGCCGCCCCTGCTGTGCTCAGGGCTCTCCCATGGCTCCCTATTACCCTCGGGAGGCCATTCGGGGTCCTTCCTCTGAACTTGAACCTTTCTAGACTCTTCTAGTCTCCACGCCCCGTCCTCGCTGGCTCCCCGAACGTGCCATCTTCCTTCACATGCCCGAGGCCCGGCTCTCGCGGGGCGGCTGCTGGGCAGTGGGGGCCTCCGCGGCTGCCGCTCACCCGTGTCCCCGTGCAGCACACACTTCAGGAGTCGCACGCTGGTCCCCCTCCTCCTGTGATCCTCCTCTCGTTCCTCACTAATGACAGCGGCAGCTCCGGCTGGTTGGGGGCTTCGCACACGCCGCGTCCTCCTCGAATCCCTGGAGGATGCTGCCAGAGGGCCTCTGGGCCTCCTTCGAGCCTCAAGAGAGGAAACTGAGTCCCAAAAAGGGGAAGCATGTCGTCTAGGGTCCCACAGCCAGGAAGCAGGGAGTGGGGCTCCAGGGCTGACCTGCCCTTTGTCCCCCCACCTCACCCCGGGCTCAGGGTAAATGTCATGTACCCCCCTTGCCAGGTCCTGACTCCCAGCCCCGGGGGCATCCATCACCCTCTGCCCAGGATGTGGGCCCCGCACTGGTGCCCAGTGGGCTGGGGCATGTGCCTGGAGCTTGTCTTCGAGGGGCTCGTCTCTTGGGGCGGCTTCTGGTGATTCCTCTAAGGATCACACATTTGGGACTTGTCTGGGTTCACTCAACAGCATCCCCTTCTTTCTGGGGAGCCCAACCCCTAAGGCAGTGGTGGCCTGGCAGATGGTGGTGGAAGTGGGCCCGGACAGGGTGAGTCACCTTCCTGGGGTGGCCCAGTAGATCTACGCTGAGGCAGGGTGCGGCCTCACCCCAGCCCCCAAGTCCAGACATTCACGTTTAAGGCTCTTGAGCTGGGAAGGAACCCAGCTTTCTCTGTGCTTCCCAGAATGGGTCTTCCAGCCCCTCTCAGTCCTTGGTCCTGCACATGCAGACGGCAGGATGGCCTGGCTTTGTCGGGGAGGGTGGCATGCTCTTGCTGACCTCCCCGTGGGTCGGGGTGAAGACAGAGGCTTCTGGAGGCCACTGCCTGGTTTCAGCCTCTTCCCTGCTGTGACTCGGGGCTGAGTTTCTTGCTTATTCTGAGGGTCAGTTTGCCCATCCTTAAAATGGGTATAATAACTGTAGACCTTGTTTGTGCAGCTTTTTGGGGAATTGATGGAGCAATTTCCTGTTTTGCACAGCCCTGGGCACACGGGCCTTGGGGTGTGGGGTCTGGAGGCTGAGCGAGCTGGGGCCAGGCCGCTGGTGGGTGGGATGGCGCTGTTCCCCGACTGCCCAGCTGGCCAAGAATGGTTCATGCTGGCGGCTGTGGCTGCCTCCGCTCTGGAACACTGGTCGTCTGGTCGTTTCTGTTCCTCTTCGTGTTCCTTGGCAAACTCCTCTCCCTCGTTCTCTTCCTAGGGAGTATCTGTGCATCCAGCAGGCCGAGCTGGATTACCTGTCAGGTCGCCACAAGGACACCCGCAGGAATTCGAGGCTGGTGAGACCTCTCCCTGCCCCTCTCCTCCTGGAGCAGCCTCGGTGGGTGAAGGATGGGCTCTCCCTCACCCCCTGCCTGCAGCGCGGGTGTCCATCAGTCTCGGAGCTCAGAGGCCTCAGGAATGCACTGTCTTGATCTTGTGATGAGCTCTCCTCACTTGGCCCCTGAGGGATTTAACCTCACAGGCTGTTAGGATCCACCCCCCCAATCCCCGCCCAACCAGGGTCCGGTCCAGCAGTTCACAGTCTCCATTCTCTGGCTCTAGAAGTAACTATAAGGTAGGCAAGTGTCCGAAGGCTCCCACATTCTAGCTGCTTCCATGTCATAGGTGTGCACAGTGAGGCGAGGGAAGGGGTGGCCATGCTGGGGCCACAGGACGGGCTGATGGACGTGGGGTCCTGCCTCCCTTGGACGCTGCTGCTTCTCGGCTTCCTGTGCACTTACTTTTCCTTCCAAAGGCTTGAGAACTTTTCCATTTCTTTATAGCTCGGGTGGAGTTTTAGTTCCATAAGTGCACAAGTACAATTTCTCAGAAATGCCTACCTGGGAAGGCACCCGCAGGTCCTGGGATCCTGGGGTCCTGGGATGGAGTCCCACATCGGGCTCCCTGCATGGAGCCTGCTTCTCCCTCTGCCTGTGTCTCTGCCTTTCTCTGTGTCTCTCATGAAGAAAGAAATAAATAAAATCTTTTTAAAAAAAAGAAAAGAAAGTTTGGTCAACGGTCGCCTTCTAAAAACGCAGTCACAGTTCATCCCCTGTCCCAGCTCTTGCTTTTGCTCAGTAGTGAATCTCTGACCTCATACAAATTCCTCCTGGCTCACACAGGGTGACTTAAGCTACGTGGGCAAACCAGGGCCTATTTGGAAATAAAGTTTATCTGCACGTGGCCACGCCTGTCACTGACCTGTTGTGTGCGGCTGCGTCAGGACCACATGGCCCCCAAGGCCGAAAGTAGTGACTGGCCTTTATACGAAGATCTGCCCAATCAGTAGGCTCATTCATTTGTCCTTCCTTGCTTCCTTCCTTTTTTTTTTTTTTTTTTTTATTTTACTCATTTGTCAGAGAGAGACAGAGAGAGCACAAGCAGGAACGGCAGGCAGGAGAGGGAGAAACAGGCTTTCTGCAGAGCAGGGAGCCCAATGTGGGATCGATCCCAGGACCCCGGGCCTGAGCCACCCAGGCACCCCTCCATGTGGGTTTTTTTTTTAAGATTTTATTTATTTATTCATGAGAGAGACGGGGGTGGTGCAGAGACACAGGCAGAGGGAGAAGCAGGCTCCATGCACCGGGAGCCTGACGTGGGACTCGATCCCGGGTCTCCAGTATCACACCCTGGGCCAAAGGCAGCGCTAAACCGCTGAGCCACCCGGGCTGCCCTCCATGTGGTCTTCATATTGGCCGCCCCAGGCCCTGAAGCCTGAAACCCCTGGAGTGGGGGTGCTGGCTGCCTCACCACCCCCTCCCTCCCTTCTGGCCATGGCTGAAATCAGCCCCTTGAACTGTCACACTGCAATGGTCCCCTTTTGTCGAGGGCTTGCCATGTCCTCTACTCTTCACGGCAACCCTATGGGGCAGGTGCTACGTGCTACAAGGACCCCCATTTTACACGAGGAGATAGAGGCTCAGGGATGTTGAGAAGCTGGCCTGGGACACACAGCTCGGAAACAGAGCCAGGCCGACAGGTGCCCCAGGCCCATGTGTTTATCACTCTTCCCACTTGGCCTGGCCCAGGCCACCGGCTGCAGGCTGCGGAGGAGAGAGTGGCTGCTGGCTTTCGTTTGACTTCTGGTGTCCCTGGGATGCAGCCTCACGGGTGTTGGAGGAGCACCACGGGCTCTGACACCTCGTCCCCTCCCCTCTTTTCTCCCCCACAGGCTTTCTATTACGACCTGGACAAGGTGAGGGAGACTTGCTGTCTGTTGGGCTGTAAGCAAGGTGGGCCCAGGCTGGGCCCTGCCCGATGAGGGGACCAATGTCGTTGTCACACTTCATCCCTCAGGCCAGCCTGCAAGAGGGATACCTGAGTTTCCTCCCCATTTTTCAAATGGGGAAATGGGTTCAGCGATGAGCCATCCTTGAGGATGGTGAGGGGCTGGCCTGGCTCCGAGGCTAGTTCTGGGTGTTAGGACCTGGGGCAGGGGGCTGGGGGCGAGGGCTGGGGGGTGGTCCAGGCTCTTCTAAAGCACCTTCTCTTTCTCTGGGAGAAGCAAACGCGCTCCGTGGAAAGGCACATCCGGAAGATGGAGTTTCATATCAGCAAGGTCAGCCTGCCTCCTGGAGGTCACGGGCAGTGGGGGGTGTGGTGGGGGGCTGGGTTAGCAGGGGAGAGGCCGAGGAGGAGCAGGGACTGCAGGGGCTCGGCCGAGGTCTTAGATGGGAAGACCTCATGCTTCACCTTACAGGGCGAGAAGGTGGAGTCTAACGGCCCCACTGCAGAGATAGGACAGTAGAGGCTCAGGAAGGGATAAGAACAGGCCCAAAGTCCCCCAGCAAGTCCTTTAAGCTTTCCACTCTGCAGCTCTTCCGTGTCCTCGCTGGATTCTCCCGGCAGCCGGGTGGCGGATAGGATAGCACAGACCCCCCCCTTTACAGTCCAAGGGTTGGGGGGGCAGTGAGGCATCCGCTCTGGGGCCTGGCCCAGTGGGGCGCTGGCTGTGTGCAGGCGGCTGCCAGGCGCTGGAGATACGGAGCAGGTGGGCGACGTGGTCCCGGCCCCGGGCTCCCATTCCACAGGGCAGGGCGCCCAGGACGGCTGCGGCACGGAGCAGGGCTGCGTGGCCTCTCCCAGAGGGTGGGGGGGGGGGCAGGCAGGCCTGGGCCCCCGCGCCTCGGCGTGGCCGGTGCCAGCAGCCGGTGCCTCCGCAGGTGGACGAGCTCTACGAGGGCTACTGCATCCAGTGCCGCCTGCGGGACGGGGCCTCCAACATGCAGAGGGCCTTCTCCGCCGGCCCGCCCAGCCGCGCCTCCCGGGAGAGCCTGCAGGAGCTGGGCCGCAGCCTGCAGGAATGCACCGAGGTGGGGCGGCGGGCGGTGGGCGCCCCGGGGAGCAGCCCTGTGTGCACCCCCCACCTCACCCCAGGGCTGGCGGGGCCTGCGTGCCCCCCTCCTCCCTCCTCACCTGGCCCCGGGCTGGGGGTTCTCTGCAGGACATGTGGCTCATCGAGGGGGCCCTGGAGGTTCACCTGGGGGAGTTCCACGTCAGGATGAAAGGTAACAGGGCCGAGAGCCGGTGCGGCAGCAGGCCCGGGACTTCTGCCGAGGGTGGGCTTCTGGTCAGAATCCGGGGCTCCCCGCACAACTTTGGGTTTCCACTCACGCGACTTGGGGCCTGAGCCGAGCCCCGTCCCCGAGGTGGGCATAGGGCCCAGGCCTGCCCACTGTCCCTCGGGATGGTTTATCCCTCCCTGAGGTTGATGCCCACCCTTGGGCAGCGGCTCCCCAGTGAGGGCCCGTGGTCCTCGGGGCGGGCCACCCGCAGGGGAGACCAGCCCCCCTCTGTGTTCCAGGCTTGGTGGGCTACGCGCGCCTCTGTCCCGGAGACCAGTACGAGGTAGGGCCAACTCCGCTTCGGGCCTGGGGGCTGGGAGTGCTGAGAGCCAGGGTCCCACCCCCACCTGGCCAGCAGGGAGGGCCCCGGCAGGTGGCCCAGGGGGCGGGGACCTACCGGGCACCCCTTCTTGGCCGCGCCCGCAGGTGCTCATGCGCCTGGGCCGCCAGCGCTGGAAGCTCAAGGGCCGGATCGAGTCGGACGACAGCCAGACCTGGGAGGAGGAGGAGAAGGCCTTCATCCCCACGCTGCACGAGAACTTCGAGATCAAGGTGGGTGGGGCCTGGGGACGGGGCCAGGGCGCCCAGGGGCTCGGCTGGACACCATCTGCAACTACCCCCCCCCCGCTCCCCCCAGGTGACGGAGCTGAGGGGCCTGAGTTCACTGGCAGTGGGCACAGTAACCTGCGACATCACTGACTTCTTCACGACCAGGCCGCAGGTGGTCGTGGTGGACATCACAGAGCTGGGTACCATCAAGCTGCAGCTGGAGGTGCTGTGGAAGTGAGTGGGCCCTCCCCGAGGCCAGCCCCAAACCCACGGGGACTCCACCCAGAGCCCAGGTGGGGCCTCGCTGGCTCCCCCTGCTGGCCTGGCCACACCCTAGCACCCACGAGTGGGCGCCCCTGCCGTCCGCCGGCCCCCAGGCAGGCTGGAGCCCAGACTCTTCTTTGTAGCCCCTGCCCACCCCCCCTTCCCCCCACTTCTCAGTTTTAACTCCCTTCTTACAACTGAAAGACCCGTGCTGGCCAGGACCCCTTCCAGGGCCTCCCGGCCTGGTTCCATGGAGGAGCCGCTCTGCTGCCCAGGAGGGCCCTCCTTGCTGCTCCACTGCCTCATTCCAGCAGGCACAGGCTGAGCACTTAGCCCCTGGACCACAGGCCCCATGGATGGGGACACTCATGAAAACAACCCCTGCCCAGGGTGGGGGCTCTCCATCAGGCACTGCAGGGGGCAAGGGGGAGAGCTGGTCTGGGGCAGCTGTCTCATCATCTTCTTGGGCCGTTCAGTGACCCCCAGGCTTGGTGTCTTGGGGGTAGGGCTCTCTTCCCAGTGTTTCAAGAGAATTCTCTTCAGTTTATTACCCAAGGCAGGTGCCCCAGGAGCTAAGGGATGGAGGCCTGCTTCCTCTGTTCTGGCACTGGCTCTGACCAGTTGGGGCCAGTCTCTCCAGTCTCCTTCCTGGGGTGGGCATCTGAGCCTGGGGTCACTAGATGGTGCTTTCTTCCCAGTGAGCTGGGTGGATTGGGGCAAGGGGGCACCCCCAGGCTCGGTGTCTTCATCTAGTCTAGTGGGGTCTGAGCGCACGTACTTCCCAGGAGGCCCCTCAAGTCTATAGGGTGGTGGGCAGCCCAGCGCCATCCAACTGGAGGCCAGGCGAACCCAAGGATTCTAGCATCCTGCTAGCCCACAGCTGCCCTGGGTGGCCAGGGAAGGCTCCCCGCGAGGGGCCTGCAGTGTCTGGGCCCCACACAGCAAGAGCCAGGCCTGTGTGCCCAGGTTTCCGTGAGGCGGGCAGGTTACCTGGCCCTCCTGGCTCCCAGGGCAGGCTCAGCGATTTCCAGCCTTACCTGTGACTTGGGCTGACGGAGGTCCTTTAAGAGATCATAGTTCCCCTTTTACAGATGAAGATGAGAGGGATGGTGACATCGTTTACCCAGAAAATGGCAGCACTGAGAGTCCACGGTGCCTCTGCTGAGCTTCCGAGGGGACCACTAACAGAGGCACCACTCACATGCGTGGTGGCCCATGGCTGCCCCTCGCCACCTGGCTAAGGGTCCTCGGGGTGGTGGGAGTGTGAGATGTTCCCAAGGGGGTTGAGAATGGGCACCTGGAGTCCCCAGGCTGTACCCATGACCCCCCATGACCCCACCAAGCCTGCATTCCCTCTAATAAGTCCCCCGGGCCTGGTCTGTGCTTGTGTCCCCCCCGGGCACTGAGGACACCCTGGCCTTCTCTTCTGTCCTCCAGCCCGTTTGATACTGAGAGCTTCCTGATGTCACCCAGCCCCACGGGCAAGTTCTCCATGGGCAGCAGGAAGGGCTCCTTGTACAACTGGACACCCCCAAGTACCCCCAGCTTCCGAGAGAGGTATTACCTGGTGAGTGAGCCTCCCCAGGATGGGGATGCCGTGGTCACCCCGGAATTGCGGCTGGGGCAGCTCCCTGGGGGCCAGCCAGCACACGGGGCTGGGCTGAGCACCTGGTGCTTCCGGGGGTAGCAAGCTCTGGACTCAGCCTCTCTTGTTTTGGGGTCATCCTGAGTGGTTCTCAGTATTTTTTCTTCCTCGCTGTCAGCCCTCCATTCTGGGGGCCTCTGGACTTGGCTCCGGACTTGGCTGGTTCTCCTGGAAGCCTGGAATGTGGTTCTCTGGATGGTTCTATCACTCCAGCCATAGCCTCAGCCTCCAATTTATTTGTTTTAAAATTAAATATATGTTTCTGGTAGGCAATACCTTGACAGAGCGTATAGTAAAACACCTCTTTCCCGTGACCCCCAGAGATCTGGGTCCCTTCCTTAGCGCCGACTATCGTTGTCCACTTCTTCCATATTCTGGCCAGGGTGGGCCCAGCATACTTCAGTTAAAAAAAAAAAATCATATCTGGTCCAGAGTATGGACTCTGGAGCCAGGTGGGCTGGGTTCAAATTCTGTTTATGCCTCTCACCTGCTGTGTGACCTTGGGCAAGTCACTCCACCTCTCTGGCCGTCAGTTTCTGTATCGAGAACTGAAAACGACAGCAGCGCTCTGGTGGGGGTTTGCAAGGATGAAATGAGTGGATTGATGAGAAGTGCTGACGAAGACAGGTGGTGCTGTAGGAACACGGAGTGTTGCTAGGGGTCTGCCTAGGGGTCGGGGAAGGGGAGCGGCGGAGGGGCAAGTGTGGGCCCATTCGCTTCATTCATTGAGAACTCCGTGGCGGGGTGAGGACGGTGCCCTCAGGGAGCACTGCCTACCCCAGGGGGTAAGGCCCATGGGCACGTGAGCCAGGAAGGGGGAGGGCACTGATGGGGCAAGGTGGGAGTTATCACCTAAAATAGGGCGCCCAGGGGAAGGACCCCAGGAAAGGTGCCACGTGAGGAAGGACCTGGGGGGATGGGGGTGTAACCACAATGGCCTAGGGGGGAGGAATGTTCTGGGAAGAGAGCACAGTCACTGCAAAGGCCTTGGGACAGGAAGGCAGGGAGAGCCCGGAGGACGTGGTGGCCGCAGGGCCTGGAAAGGAGGGAGAGGGAAGGACGAGGCGGATGGGGGCAGAGGCTGCAGGGGCCCATCTGCACCTCCAGGCGCCAATCACTCGTGGGGACAGTGTGGGTATTTGGCGCAAGCGTTTGGGGAGGGCAGCCCCGCTGGGGGCCTTGCCCCGGTCCCTGGTGTGGCAGTAAGGCTGGTCCTGTGTCCCCCTCCCCAGTCTGTCCTGCAGCAGCCAGCACCGCAGGCTTTGCTGCTGGGTGGGCCGAGGGCCACCTCCATCCTCAGCTACCTGTCTGACAGGGACCTTCGGGGCCCTGGCCTGCGGAGCCAGAGTCAGGAGCTGCCTGAGATGGACTCCTTCAGCTCCGAGGACCCCCGAGACGCCGAGACCAGCACATCAGCATCCACCTCGGACGTGGGCTTCCTGCCCTTGGCCATCGGCCCCAACACCTCCATTGAAGAGGAGGCCCAGGAGGACCCCCGACCCCTGGGCCTCCTGCCGGAGATGGCCCAGCAGGCGGGAGGCCCATTTGTGGAGCAGCCTGGCTGGAGGAATTTGGGAATAGAGGGCCCCAGCCCGCCACGGGGTTCCCCTTTCCACAACCACACAGATCCGGGCAGCCAGACAGACCACGATGAAGGAGAAACCGAGGACGGAGTGGATGGGCCTGGGGTGGCCCTCGAGAGGCCCCTGCAAGAGGTCCTGGATTTACTGAGGTCCGCGGACCCCACCCAGCCCCAGCTGCGGGAGCTGGAGTTCCAGGTTCTCGGCTTCAGGGACCGGCTGAAGGTAGGTTTATTCATCGAGGGGCGGCAGCCCTGCTCTACTAGTGCCTAACGAGTGGCAGTGGTCCCTGGGGGCAGCCAGCCTGGGCCGGCACCCTGGCCTCACCCCCGTGTGACCCAGCTGGGCAACGTCTCCCCTCTGGGCCTCAGTCTGCTCATCTGTCCAGTGGGGAGAACAGTCGCCCTCACTGGCTGGGAGGAGGATAATAAGAGGAAGTCGGGCATCGGGGCAGATAACCTGCTCCACGTCTGGCCAAGAACCTGGGCCCATCAGACATCTTCTGACCCCGGGCAGGTGGGGCTGTTCAGTTCCCAAATCTGGGGTGTGTTCAGGGTCAGAGTCGGGGCTGCAGAAGACCCCGCGCAGCTGCACACCCTTCCCTGAACCTGCTCCTCGCAGGGCCTGTGGCAAGGGCCGTCCTCGGGTGCTGGCCCGGGCGGATTATTGGATTTTTCCTGATTACACAACTTCAAACGCATGGATGATAAAATGTGTAACGCCAGTACCTACTTCACATCATCTGATTTATGAAACTACCGTCTTTTGTGTAGGACACGCTGGCACTGAAATAGTTTCCTGGCTCTCTTTAAAAATTATGTGGGGGCATTTCAGGGTTTAAAATGGGCCCAGGGATCCCTGGGTGGCGCAGCGGTTTGGCGCCTGCCTTTGGCCCAGGGCGCGATCCTGGAGACCCGGGATCGAATCCCATGTCGGGCTCCCGGTGCATGGAGCCTGCTTCTCCCTCTGCCTGTGTCTCTGCCTCTCTCTCTCTCTCTCTCTCTCTCTCTCTCTGTGACTATCATAAATAAAAAAATTTTTTTTTAAATAAAAAAAAATAAAATGGGCCCAGCTGCCGTGTTGAAGCGCAGTCTAGTGCTCCCGAGTGCAGGGAGGCTGTGCTGGGCCTCTCGGAGAGGACGCATGTGTGAGCTCAGCGTGGTTCAGGCGCGGGTGACAGCGCTGTGGGGGCCTGAGGTCAGTGCCAGTGAATCATCCGTGTAAATCCAGTAAAGTGTCTTCAAACAGAAACACACATAAAACAAGCTTCTGTGTTGATGGGCTGATGAAAATGTCGTGACCAGGGGCTCAATCTCTGCACTTCTAGGAGTGACGGTTTGGCACATCTCGAATAATGAGGAACCACCTCCGTGTGTGTGTGCGCGTGTGTGAGTGTGTGTGCATGTGTATGTGCAGATATATGCAGACACACTTTTTTTTTTTCTATCAGGCAAGGCGTAACTGGCCTTGTTATTTTCTTGTAACTCAAGACTTCCTTTTTTTTTTTTTAAAGATTTTTAAAATTTTATTTATTCATAAGACACAGAGAGAGGCAGAGACACAGGCAGAGGGAGAAGCAGCCTCCACGCAGGGAGCCTGATGCGGGACTCGATCCCAGGACCCCGGGATCCCGACCAGAGCCAAAGGCAGACGCTCAACCACTGAGCCACCCAGATGCCCCAACTCAAGCCTTTCTTGAGTGGGCTCGACTCTTGGGAGCCTAGTTCTGGCTTTCGAGGCAGTGTCTGCTCAGGCAGTGCCCTGCGTGCACTTTGTTTGGGATGAGGCCTGGGTGTGCCGGGATGGGGACTGGGTGAGCCCTGGAGTCCTGCCATGTACTGAGGAGGCCAAAATCTCCAGGAGTAGATTTCTAGATGCCGAGGAAGGGACCTGCCCTTGGGAGACCTGACCAGTGGCAGGAGCTGTGGCACCACCACGCTCTCCCACCCCTGCCAGTCAGGAGGCGCCTCCAATGTCTTCTCCTTCCTGCATTTCCCTGGGAGAAGACACTTGGGGGTGCCTGGGGGGCCCAGTCGGTGAAGCCAAGCATCTGCCTTCACCTCTAGTCATGATCCCAGAGTCCTGGGATCGAGTCCCACATCAGGCTCCCTGCTCAGCCGTCTGCTTCTCCCTCTGCCCCTCCCCTGCTCTTGCTCTCTCTCTCTCAAATGAATAAGCAAAAAAAATTTTTTTTTTTAAAGAATACTTGAAATCCAGAGGCTCATCTGGCAGCCTCTGAGCCTCCTAAAGAGATGTTTGGTCTGGCCCATACCATCTTTTTTTTTTCAATACCATTTAAAAAAAAATAATTTGGAATTAGCTGTCAATATTTAAAAACTGGCAGCTTTCCACAAAAATCTAGGTTTCCAGCTTTTTTTTTTTTTTTTTTTTTTTTTTAGAAAATTGAGGGGATCCCTGGGTGGCTTAGTGGCTTAGTGCCTGCCTTTGGCCCAGGGTGTGATCCTGGGGTCCTGGGATCGAGTCCCACATCAGGCTCCTGCATGGAGCCTGCTTCTCCCTCTGCCGGTGTTTCCACCTCTCTCTCTCTCTCTCTCTCTCTCTCTCTCTCTCTCTCTCTCTCTAATGAATAAATAAAATCTTTTTTTAAAAATTGAACTATCTAGCAACACTCAAGTGACAGGTGTCCGCTGGAGCAGAGCAGCAGCCTGGCTTCTTGGGGGAGGGCACACGTTCTCCTGCTCCCCACCCGGGGTCACTTGCTCACTCCTGTTTCTTGCCCTGTCCCTGTGGGTGTCTGTGAGCTGGGTGAGGCCCTTCAGATCTGTGTCCCTGTGCTCTCGAGCCATACCTTGTCACAGGCTAATTGGGAGGGACCTCAAGGAGCGCCGCACCCCGTGCCCAGCCTGGACTTGAGTGATTGCACTTGGGCAGCCGAGGCTCGCACCCTGCCCGTGAGCCGGAGCCTGTTAAGGTCCGGTGGGCTGCCTGCCCTGAGGTCTCCCCGCTCTGTCCACAGCCCCGCGGAGCCCGCCAGGAGCACGCCTCTGCCGAGAGCCTGATGGAGTGCATCCTGGAGAGCTTCGCCTTCCTCAACGCTGACCTCGCCCCACAGGAGCTGTCCCTGTTTGGGGGCTGCCAGGGTCTCCGGTAAGTGCACCCTCCTCCCAGCACTGACCCTGGGGACCAGCCTTAGTCCATGCCTCCTATTGCCTCCTGGCCTATGGCTTCCCCTGCCCTGGGCCCCATCTGTCCTGCCCCCTCACCCCTGCATGCCCACTGCCCGGCACAGCAGGCCTCTATTGGCCACCGAGTGAAGGACAGTCCCCCAGCAGGGTCCTGAGCTTTGAGCAATGTGCTGTTTTTGTTTTTATCTTAAAAAATGATAAGGTCCACGGTAGGACCTCTGTACTCTTGCCTCACCAATGGGCAGCAGTGAGCCGTGCTCCCTATTCTTCTGCACAACCTCACCTCCGACACCAACTTCCTTCTTGGCTAAGCATCCCCCGCCTGCCCCACTCACGCCTGGCTCTGGTACCGAATCTCAGCAGCCGCCAGAGGATAAACAGTACACTGTCTCCTCCTCTCACGATGCCATGGGGAGGGGGTGGCTCTCCCACCCGACATTCCAGGGTCCCAGTGTCCTCAGGCCTCAGGCTCAGCTCCTACCATGAAGCCAACATGATGCCAGGCATTCTGGCTGGCAGGGTCACACTTACACGTCACTGCCCTGAGCTCGGTATTCCTCTCCCCACTTTACAGATGAGTAAACTGAGGCGGGGGGGGGCAGACCTGTCCCAAAGTGATGGAGCTCAGGATTAGTTTGAACTTCTGACTTCAGATCGGCCACCTGGGGAGGTTTCTTCCGCTCCCCCCATCCCAGCACTTGTTCTGAGTTGGCTTTTGCTGCTTTTTCTCTTGGTTTTCTCCTTGGTATAACTCTGTCTCCCTGGGGCCTGCAGCAGGCCTCCCTGACCAGCTCTCTCCAAGGAGGGAGGGTTTCTTCTACTCTCGGAGGGAGCTGAGCTAACTGGAATAGTCACCTGCTTCTTTTTAATCCAACTCAGAAAGGACAGGACCCCGCCCCCACCGCCATCTCGGAAGGTGTCATCCAGGGAGCTCACAGCCGGCACCCCGGAGCTGGACAGGTTGCTCATGGCCCACCTCCAAGTCTGCAAAGCTCTGCTGCAGGTGGTTAAGGGATGTGGGGGGGGGCAGTTTGCTGGGAAGCCAGGTTGCAGGTTGGGGGTTTTTGGCTCACAGAATTGAAAGGCTTAGGGGCAGGCTTCAGGCCCAGCTGGATCTGGGGTTTCAAATGTCATCATAACTGGGTCTCTCTCTCTCTCAGCTCTGCTTTCCTGTGTTGGCTGGCTCCACTTCTAGGCAGGCTAGCCTTTTCTGGTGGCAAAGGTGGCCCCAGGCCACAGCCTGCATCCTAGCATCTCACCTTGGCGAATTGGGAATCCCCAGATGACAGTCAGGGAACAACCATCAGCATAGAAAGGATGGGCCAGGGGGAGGGTGGTGGCTAGGTGGGAGCTGCAGTCGTGACTGTCGACCTCAGAGGGCACCTTCTGCCCTAACCTGGAGCATCGTGGGCTGCTTTCCAGAAACTGGCCTCTCCTAATTTGTCGAGGATGGTCCAGGAATGCCTTCTAGAAGAAGCTGCCCAGCAAAAGCAGGTTCTGGAGATGCTTTCTGTGCTGGATTTTGAGAAGGCCAGCAAAGCAACATCCATTGAAGAAAGTAAGTAACCGCCCAGCACCCATGGGCTGCTCTTGGAATGGCATCAAGTGATGGGCTTCGAAGCCCTGGGGAGCCTCATCTTCCTTCCTCGGGTCCAAAGTTAACTGGAGCCCAGGGGGGTACGAGCTGGGGCGGTGGCTGGGCTGTGCCCTGACACACACACTGTGGGGCCGGCAAGGGAGGCCACAGAGCCTTGGAGTCAGTGGCACACGCTCTTTGGGCCTTCCCAGCTGCCGTGACGACTGGGGGGAGAGGCCCAGGGCATGCACGCACAGCTGAAGCTGCCTGTCCTGCGGGCCCCTGGACATGGGAGGGGAAGCTGTCACCCCTCACCCCCCCACCTCCCAGGCCTTAGCGTGGGAGGAGCTCTTTGGGCCTCCCCCACCTCCAGTCGGGTCCTGCCCCCGGCTTTCTAGTCGTTGCGCAGGCCGCTCGGAGGAAGGGGTGCCTGAGGCTGTGGAGAGGGTGCACGGAGCCCGGCAGGGTGCTGTCCTGCCCCGCCACGACGCTGCTGAACCAGCTCAAGAAAACGTTCCTGCACAGAGTCCGCGGGAAGTACCCGGGACAGCTGGAAATAGGTACCCCCGCGCCCCCCGCTTTCTGCCCTGCCTGCGCCCCCATGTCTCATGCACCGGAGGGGGGACAGGAAGGGTCTGCGAAGCCCCGAGGCCGCCCACGTTAGCCGGCTGGGCCGCTTCTGGGCAGGCAGACAGCGCAGCTCCCACCAGAAGCTTATAGGGGTTCGGGCAGCACGTTGGGGATGGTAGGCCGGACTCCCCCTCGGAACACAGAGCGGCTTCCTCTGCCGACAACCGAGGGGGACACCTGTACACCCTCGCCGTGGCTCTGGAACGCGTGCAGCTCCACGCAGCGCCCGGCTGCTGCTCGGCCGGAGGGTTCCCCAGCCCCGGGCCCCGAGAACCCCCGATGCAGCCTGCTCCGGCGGGCAGAGGTGGCTCCAGCGGGGCTCCCCCCACGCCCGTCGAGAGCCTTTACCTGACCCAGCCGCGCCGGGCCGAGAAGCCCCTCGGGGCTCCGGGGGGCTGTCTCTAGAGCTCACGGCCTCCTCCCGTGTCTGCCAGCGTGCAGAAGGCTCCTGGAGCAGGTGCTCAGCTGCGGCGGGCTGCTCCCCGCAGCCGGGCCTCCCGAGGAACAGACGGTCACCTGGTTCCAGTTCCACGGCTACCTGCAGAGGCACAGTGTCTCTGACCTGGAGAAGCACTTCGCCCAGCTCACCAAGGAAGGTAGGGGCTGGGACGGTGGCCTCAGAGCAACGTCGTGAGCACGAAGGGCTATCCGTCCGTGGGGCCATCCCCTGGCTCTCTGGAAGCCAGTTTCTCGGAGCCACTGCTCCTTTCCCCTCTGGCTGTTCTTTCGAGAACCCAGATTTAATGAGATGGCATGTTCAGCCCATGTAGTGAAATCAGCTCCCAGGGAAGGCTTTACAAAGCACGGGGGTGAGAGCTGGATAGGAGGGTGACGCACGGCTGGCCAGAGTCCTTGCAGCATGGGCTGAGGTTTTATTAATTTTCAGGGTGTATTTGATCCCTTGCTAGGCCTTCTAGGGAGTCCAGGAGGCCCCTTTGGAAGCAATCCAGACTGAGCCTTGGTGATCGCACCGGCTTGCTCTGGGATTTGCTTCCCCCTGGCTCCTGGCAGTGGCCAAAAAGACCAGACCGCAATCGGAGGGACCCCACGCCCACTTCTCTCTTCCAGTAACACTCGTCGAGGAGCTGCAGTGTGCGGGGCAGGGCAAGGCGGTCAGGAAACTGCAGGGGAAGCGGCTGGGCCAGCTCCAGCCCCTGCCCCAGACATTGAGGGCCTGGGCGCTGCTCCAACTGGACGGGACCCCACGAGTGTGCAGGGCAGCCAGCGCTCGCCTGGCCAGTGCAGCCAGGAACAAGAGCTTTCGGGAAAAGGTATGGCGTGAGGACGGGAAGGGACAGCCCCCTGGCCACATGTGTGAGTTTTGGGGCAGTAGGTTTTCTCAGAAAAATACAAAGGAGTGAGGGATGTTTTGAAGGGGGCTGCATGCACTGCAAGGGCTTATTGTTTTTTTTTAAGATTTTGGTTTTTTAAGTAATCTCTATATCCACTCTGACTTACAACCCTGAGATCAAGCGTTGCATGCTTTACCAACTGAGCCGGCCAGGCACCCCAAGAGGTTTTGGTTTAGGGATGCTCCAGTGGCATGAACACCGCCCTTCTCCCACCGCGGCCCTGGGCAATACCAGCCCCGGGAGGGATCCGGGCTGGGCTGGGGCTGCCAGGCCACCGCTCGAGGAGCCCACAGAACCTCCCGCCACAGCCTGACCACCTCCTTCATCCTGGTGCTTCCAGCACAACATATCTGTTTGGTCTGAGATGTCAGTTGTGTGTAGAACGTTTCTTTTTTCGGATTCTCATGGTCATCTTCATTTACTTTCAACTAATGTGTGTCGATCTGCAAACCAAGAAATTGGACCCCTATGCCTCTTAGGTTTCTGGAGCTGTGAATTAAGGTGGAGAAGGGCAATACTGAGGCCTTACTACGGTCTCTTGGGTCACCCCACGGCCAAGTGCATCCTCACGTGCTTCCCAATAAGCCTGTACAATGCTGTGAAGCCGGTGCCAGCTCTCTCCCAGCTGAGGGGGCCGAGGGGACAGGGCTGTCGCTGTGACTGGGAAATGGTGTTCCCAGGGCCGCCTCCCTCTGTGCACCCAATTCTTCGGCTGGCCCTGGCCAGACATCTGATTTCTCTGATGCAGTGTTTTATCTAGATTTGGGAAATACTATTAGACAAAAAGAGCTTTCTTCACTTTGATTAGCATCAGCCCAGGGACCAGTGTTTTTAGAGAGAAACCTAAACACTGCGGCAGATACTCTGAGACGGGGTGCACCTGGCCCAGAGATGAATAGATCAGGGCCTGATTTTTGTTTAGAGAAAGGTAAGCAGGGCGTGACTTCCTGCCAGCACCGGGAGGACTGGCCATGGGCACTGTGGACTTGGCTGGCCCAGCCCCCCCCTTCACAGCCACCTTATTCCCCAGGCTTTGCTCTTCTACACTAACGCCCTGACCGAGAACGATGCAAAACTCCAGCAGGCCGCGTGTGTGGCACTCAAACACCTCAGGGTGAGTCTAACCTTCCTTGCAGGGGATGGAAAGAAGCCTGCTTGTGGTTAATGTCAAAGTTAATTAAAAAAAAAAAATTCATTCCAAAATTATTCCACTGGGACTCCCCCCCCCCTAAAAAAAAGGTCCCCGAAGAACTCGTTTTAGAGGAGCAGACGTCAAATTTACCAGCAGAGGCCCCTCAACAGTTGTCAAGGAGCATTTGCTTGGGCTCTGCTTGAATAAGCAGGTAGCCCCAGGGACACCTTCTGAGGTCTTGGTTTCTACGTTTGACTATCCTCAATTTAAAAATCTCTTAAAGCACAATTAGCTCATTGTAGGAAAAAAAAAGTGTAAAATACAGGAACATAACAGTTACCCATCATCCTGATACTTAGCAGAAACTACTGTTGGCGTTTTGCTGTTATTTCTTTAGTTTGTGGGTGTGTGTGTGAGCATTTAAAATTGTTAGTCATGCTAATAAATACAATTTAAAAATAGTGGGCAAAAATAGGAACTCTTAGCGGCAGACTGGCAGTTCTTTAGAAGTCTCTATGAAGGGGCTTAGTTAATTGATTCCCCCACTCTCGTGGTAGAAAACTGAGGTTCATCGTCCTTTTTTTTTTTTTTTATTGTGGTGCCATTATGAACATCGTTGTGCACAAAGCCTTTACAAAATATATGGAGCTCTGAATGATTTCCTTAGGCTGAACCCTCTACAAAGTGTGCCTCTAGGCCAGAGAATACGAAACTTTTGGAGACTCCTGATACAGCTCACCCACTTACACTCCCAAAAACAGATGTGAGAGGATGTCCACCTTGCCTCAACCTCACTTGCATCTGGAACTCTCATTTAAAAAAAAAAACAACCCACTGCCAATTTGCTAGATGAAAAAGAGATTACACTCATCCCATTCATTCTGGGAAGAACCAAAGGGAAATTCTAGGAGGACCATCTGGTTATACTCAAACCACCAGAAAGGCGGGTAGAGGTGGGTGCCCTTGTAGAGGAAGCTGAAGTGCACTCTAGTCCTTGGCCCTGGAGGAGAGAGCAACGAGTGTCAGCTGCACCCACATCTGGGTGCTGACTGATGCTCTCAGTCTGACCAGGAGGGGAGGGTTAGGAGAGAAAGGACGATTTAAGAAGGTCCAGAGGGAAGCAGGTCTGGTTTTTAAGATAGGCCGGCTCACTAGCAGGTGGCAGGATTGAAAAGGAGAGGCACTTCTGATGAATTTAAGGCCATGTAAGAAAACTGTAAGCCTTTAGAAAAGGAAGGGGCTGAGGCCCCAGAGAGCATGCCAGGGCTGGTGCCTTGCAAGAGCTTATAAAAGTAGGTTCCACCTGCTACTTAAAACGTCCCCTAATGGTTCCTCTTTGCCCCCACCTCAAACAGGGCATCGAAAGCATCGATCAGATCGCCAGCCTGTGCCAGTCCAACCTGGAGGCCGTACGAACAGCAGCCCGGGAAGCGACACTGTCATTTGGTAAAGTACAGCATCAGAGGTCATGTGCGGTACAGTGGCGTGCCCGAGGATCTCTGGAAGGTTGTGCTAGCGAGGCCTCGGCCAGCCCTCCAAGATACAAAATAGCACAGGGGCTGGGCGCTGTAGGGGCCCATTTAACTGCATTTGGCCAAGACAGGTTTCCTTCATGGTTGAGATGGCAAGATGTGCTTTATTTCCCTCTTAAACTTCAGTTTAGGATCCAGGGGAATGAGAGCCAGATGCAAGGCAGGAATACAGTTCAGCAAATTGTGTCTTGAACATAGGGGCGAGGCACTGGGTCCATGCGAGGGGCAGGCAAGAGCTCCCCAATGCTCCCGCCTCTGCCCCTCACAGTAGCACCCAGGACCCCAGCATGAGTCAGCACCAATGCTGTCTTGGCTCAGCAGAGCAGGAACACTGAGGTGGGGACAATCCAGTGACCGATCACCTTAATCTTTCAGGTGAGAAAGGACGCTTAGCTTTTGAGAAGATGGACAAACTCTGCTTGGAACAAAGAGAAGAGGCCTTTTGCCAGGAGGCGGATGTTGAAATCACGATATTTTAGGCCTCAGAGGACGGGCGCAGATCTGGCTTCTCTGTTTTCACTGCTTACCAGCCTTGACACAGGGATGAGCTTGGGGTGGGGCTACGCCGTGTGCCGCCCCTGGAAGCGTGAGCTGGCCGGAGCTGCTCCTCCATCTCCAGACCAGTTACAAAGCCCAGGGGGCACAAATGAGGGTTTTCATACAGAAGCAGAAGGGGATGCTGTAGGGTTTTAATCACATGGTCGGTTTTGTTCTGAGAACTGGCCTCACCTTCCTCAGCCAGCCGCACTACGAAGGGGCCAAGGTCAGACAGGCTGAGGCCTGGAGCAAAAGGCTCCTAGAGGGACAGACGGCACTTGGGGTCTCCCTGCGGGGCAGCCCGCTCAGCGCTTCTGTTTCAATGACGACTGGGAGTGAACTGGCCAGCGGGCTGACGGTCTTGAGGACGCGGTGGGTCAGGTCAGCAGCAGCCAGCTGTCACCCCGGCAAGCTGGGGACGGTGGGAAGACACAGAGCCAGGGATTCACGATTCACCTTCTTAACCCGGGCTGCAGCCCAGTGGCCACGGTGGAGCCTGCTGACCACGGGTCTCATTCTCATCGTGCTCAGCAGCACATTGAGAATGGCCAAGAAACCTTGAGTGTCACATCAGGAAAAGCATTCACTTTGACCTCAACTCATCAAAATGGAATGAAACCTTTGAAGCAAGTCAACGTCAGGCCTAGTAAATTGCTTTGCAAGCCATAAAGCTGGTTTCAAAAAAAGATTTCCTGAAGAACATGTTCAAAGAAAGAAAATGAGTTTCCTACTTAAGTCTTTTAAAAACTCTCAAACATGCCCCGAACTGTACTTGTGATGAGCTGTGGAGACAGCCTGGGGTAGGAAGGTGATTCCTGACAATGGCGCTGGGGACTCTGTGACTGGAACCTTCTCCTGTAAACGTTCTGTATATACATTCTGTGCTTTTCAGTTGAACTTGGTATATTTATTTGCCTTGTCCCTGAATTCCATTTTTTGAAATTTTGATTAAAATGATTTTTATTGGTGTTTCCCTTTACCTGAAAAAAATAGAGAGCAGTGGCAGTTTGCCCCAGCCTCCCAGGGAGGGAAACGATAGCCCCTGGTGTCCCGAAGGTGCTCTCAGGCCTGCTGCTCAGTTAGGCGGGTTCTCACACACACACTCGGGGGTCACGCAGGACAGCTGCGGACTGAGTGCCCTTGATGCTCCCCGTTCTCATGGAAGGTTCCCCAAGTGCCTACTCCTAACAGATACTGAGCAGCATGGCCTCTCCTTATCTAGCCCTTGGCCTCATCTGATTTATTACAGATTCAGCTTTTTTTCTCCCACATTGGCATGCCACCTCTTCGTGAAAGCTTAGATGCCATTTTTGTATCTGAAACAAAGACTGAAGTGACAGAGGGTGGGACACCACCATCCCTTGGCCACAGTCCTCCGTGGGTGCTCCAGGGTCACATGACCATAGCCTGTGTACCCTTCTGGTTCTGTGGATCCTGCCAAGAGGCCACAGCACTGACCATTCACTCTTTACTCAGTGGCTGGTCATACAACCCTAGAGGATGTAAGGGAATTCTTTGTACAAATATTTTTGCAATGTTTTAGAAATCAGAAATTATTTCAGAACAAAAAGTCAACAAATCACTTTAGAGAAGATTTAACTATCCAAGAAGGAAGAGTACATAAACATTTTATCATGTCACTTCTCCATCAAGGGTGGCTCAACAGAGCTCCTGAGTAGTGGCAACCATAGTGTCTTCTTACAGGCAGCTGGCTAGGCACCCATTCTAAGCAGCCCTCCAAGCAACTTGTGTAGGTTTGCTAAGGTACCCAAGGGCCCTGGACAATTTGGAAGGTGGGTTTTGTCGTGGTCCAAGAAGCTGGGTTGAGGTATGACGTGTCAAACTTACCGGGAAGGGCAAGTTCCCCTGGCTCAAAGGCGCACACAACCCCAGAAGGTGCCCGTCCGGCTTTAGGCCCATTAAACAAAAGGCATGGGAGGTACCCCAAATCCATGTTCTTTAGAAAAAATTTTTATTGTTGCAACTAAAATGCAAACCCATCATTTATATGGCAAGTTGGAAAACTGTACAGTTTGACAGTTCTGTGAGGTCACAGAAGACCCTGAGACGCGCCCCCCCACCCCCCATCATGCATCCATGTATACACACACCTGAAAAGGTATTATACCAAAACACCTCGCTTTTTTTGTTTATTTTTATTTTTGTAAAAATGGTTTATTCCACGGCCATTGTAAAAAATAATGACCTATTGAGTAAATATTGGCTTAAGGCATATAGCAGAGCAGCTCGCTACTTCTCTAACATACGTGTAACAAGATGGAGAGCCATCTGTTTTCCAAGGATAGGAGGTTAAACCAGTATATCCATTTTGAAATGCTACTATATATACACACCCAAACTACTACATACATATACAGGACTTCAAAAAACAAACAAACAAGCCCAACTCAAAAATGCTTACAGCCTGGCACCTCAGCCTCATCCACACCTCACCAAGGTTCTGCAGAGCGATGCCTCAAACGTTCCCACCACAGAATTTCTCTGCACGGGCTTCTAACATGTGAAAGGCAAAATGTGAAAATGCTGGCAAAAGAGCAGCTCGTGAGCTACAGCTGCCTTGTTTTTTTTTTTTCTTGTTAAAAAAGCCACTGAATGTGGAGGTCTTAAGTTCCCTTGCAGGAAGAGTCGTGAGCACCATCAATCCCCCAGAGTTCAAGGGCGGGGGCAGACGTGGCTCTCAGCAAGGCCCCCGGAAGGGGACGGCGGGAGGTGGACTCCGAGGGACTGTCACCCAGATTGCTTCAGGACGTGTGGTTTCCAGCAGTAGCCTTGGTTCCCAATCACAGTCTGCTCGCGAAGAGCGTGAACTTCTGACCGTGGAGTCTGATCCCCAAGGTGTTGGGGGGGACCCTGCTTGCCTGAATGTCCAGAGCGTGAGGTGTGACTACGGCTTCCCATACCCTTGGAATGTCTGAGTTGCAGTGGGACCCAGCTGGACAAGGACAGGCTGGGCCTCACCAGGAAGTCACCAGAGTGTCATACCAGGAATTCGGCAAATATCTCTTACTGGAAAACATCACTCCATTGCTGAATGGCGATGATTTCAGCAAGTCTTAGGAACCACAGCCATGTAATGATCAGATCATGCAAAGGTAGATTGGACTCATACATGGGCACATTAATAAGCAGAGAGCTAAGTATTTCAAGCACGTGGTATTTGATCGGGACACAAGAAGACCATACATGCATTCTAATACACACAGGGGAGGCAGTGATCGAGAGCAAGATTCTAGCAGATAACCAGGAGGGGGTAACTGGGACAAAGTAATCTCACATCATGTATCTTAAATATCCAAGCGTTCAGTATATATTATCCCATGTTCTATAAACATATGCCAAACTTCTTCTCACGTTACCCACAATGTCGAAATAATGACTGCTTACAACCGTCCTCCTTCCTAGTACTGGTCTGACGCAGCAGGCTCATGGCAAAGTCTTAACGTTCCCAGCACTACCTGAGGGTTTATTATTGTACTTTTTGATAAAGCCCTTGATGCAAGGCTGACATCAAAAATTTTTAATACATTATTGGTTTAAGAAAATGCTAGTGCACTATGGATGCCTTTGGGGAAAAAAAAAACAAAACCAAAAATAAATATGGAGTGGAGAGGCTCACTACACACAGTCTCTGTGGAGGTCCGGGGGAGGACACCGTGCACTGCCCACCGGGATGTGCTGGGCCGCACTGAGAGGGAGCCCTGGGCAGGGTGAGCCTCACGCTGGGCGCAGGCTGCCAGCACCATACTCTCCTCTGTTCTCCTCAAAAAATGGGTTGTGGATTTGGTACCCGAAGGAAAAGGAGGGGGAACAAAGTCGAAAGGAGTCAGAACCAACAGCCTGGGGAGGGTGGTTTTAGTGCAGAACAAACGTCCGTCCAGGTCACGGCTGGCTACGCTGTCCTCGGCCCTTACCTACCACAGCATGCCTGCTAGGCGGGCGCGGGCTCTACGAGCAGAGGCGGACAGTGGGGTGGAGGTGGAGTGGAGGTGGGTCAGATTATGTGCTGCTGCTGAACAGGAACTGGAATGAAACCAAACATTTTCAGATGAGCCCAGACCCACCCCAGCAGAGCTGCAGACTCCTGCACTTCCCCCAGCCCCCCGCCTCCCCAGCCACTCCAGCCTCCAGGGAAGGGGGGTTTCATTTTTCTTTTACAACAGCCGTCCTTCCCAAAAATCACCCCAAAGGAAAAAATTGTTTACGTGTTGCTAAACCATCTGATGAACTCAAAGATGGTCACTAGGAGAAAGTATTTAAAACGATTTCTAAAAAGTCTTGTGAGGTGATTTCCACGACCAGAATTTTGAGGCTAATCCTCCTCCTTCCCCTCACTTGAACAGCAACACACTTCTAACGTGTGGTTTTCTGAAACAGCATTTATGTTCCAAAGGAAGTAGAAATCGTTCGCTCTGGACCTCAATGGCAGGGTGAAAAGCTGCTGTCCACCCTGCCGTGACCTCTGACCCTGAGGCAGGGACCTGGAGGAGCCCCGTTTGTGGAGGGGGGGGGATGGGGGCAGAGCCTGACCCGGATGGCCACAATGAGAAGGGACTGGAGAAATGAGCAATGGGAAACCGGCAGGGACACCCTGAGCAGAAGCAGAAGCCGGGTTTTGTTTTCTAGAGATGGCCTTTTGTTGTTTCTTTTCTATAAACGGGGAAGCTCACAGGCACTGTCCAAGCTCAGAATGCGCACAGCAGAGGAAGCCGCTGAGCAGGACCGCACCCTAAACCCTTAAACCCTCTTCTCCAAAGGAGTTTACATTCGTAAAAGCGTGGGAGTCTTTCCCTGGGAAATCAAAAATAAACTGTGTATCTGGTAACACCACCTAGGGGTACAAGAAAGGTTCGTAAGTGCCTAGTCTCTTTTTTTTTTTTTTCCAGAAATAACAAAACCTGCTTTTTATAAAGATTAAAAACAACAATGTGTTGTAATTCTATTATTTTTTTTCAAAAACAAATAACAATAACAAAAAAAAAAAAAAGAAAGAAAGAAAAGAGAGAGAGAGAGAGACACATATTTGGCATTTTCTCTACTTACTCCTGAATAGGTTAAGGCCCTGAGATTAGACTCATATATATTCTTGGGACCACAGGGCTCCTTAAAACCCCAGTGCATCAATCCTCAATTCTCTCTTGTTAGCCCTTCACAGTTCCAGACTTTAAAAAACCTTTACTCTGTTTCTTCTGAGACTGGCTCAGATCCTTCCACAGCACTGAATGCTAACGCCGGGCTGTCGGCCAGTGCTTTCTGTACACGCGGTCCTGCCAGCACGTCCGTCAGTGGAAACATACCCTGTAGCAGAGGTACGCGCCGGCCGTGAGGACCGTGGCCATGCACATGTTGACCAGGAAGGGCTTCCAGGGAGTCAGCGCCTGGTCCTGCTCCTCCTTGGGTGGCGATGGCTCCCCCTGGGCAGGACCTGCCCCCAGGGCCCGCCTTCTGACTTCAGTGTCTGGACTCGTGCTGAGGGATGAGAGGCACAGAGATGGGTTACTCGTTTTGGAGAAAACGGTGAGGATGCTATTATTACAGTTGGAATACTACTAGACGGTGATGGAGAGCTGGGGAGACGCTGAGGAGACATATAGGCGCTGGTGCAGACAGCTACTAATTTGCCTTGGGGTTTGCTTGGAGAACGTTTCCCTTCAGATCAAGGAGGGCAATGGTGGGGCCCATAATATGCTACCACTCCTTACCCAGGCCCCCTACGTAAGAGCCTGTGTTGCTGCTGACATGAGGACATCATTCCCTCTTGTCCCTTAGCCCACCATGTTCCAGGTTTGAGACCCCAGCATCAATCCAATCCTGCCAGTAGGACCGTTTCTCAGGCATCATGTGTACATACCCTAGCTGGCCTCCTGGTGGCAAGCCAGAGCACCCCCGCGCGGATGACATGCCCTGCTCTCGTTCCAGGCCTGTCTCAGGAGAGGCCAGCTGAGGCCCTTCCTTTCCCTGCCACTTGCCCCAGGCCTTGGCCTCACCTCCCTTGCCTCCCGCCGCCCTTGCCCCCATCAGAGACCCAGACCACAGACGTCCTGCTTCTCATGTGTATCTACGCCAGCAGCATCTTATGTAATGGTCAGGGCTACCCTGAGGCACCACCTTCCCAGGAGACAGGAGAAGGTGGCACAAAGCACCTGCTTTTTGGTGCCCTGCATGACACCCTGGTGGCAGGGCTGAGGCCCGTGTGCACACAGGTGCCCACTGGTGTCCTGAGGCACTTATGTTCTTGGTACAACTCCACTTTCCCTTGGAACTCTCTGGCTTTTAGCTTCCTAAATCCACACACTCTTCCTCACCACTTTCACACACACACACACACACACACTGAAAAGCACCCCTCTCTCCACCACAGTCCTAACGAAAACAGAAAAGAACGGGTGACAGAGTGGACCCAGTCACGTGCCAGCTCTCACCTCTCTTACCCTCGACTCTTGGCAGGCCCTCAGAGCACACTGGCTCACCCTGAGAACATCACCAGAGGTCCTGGGAAGAAGTTAGGCACAGTCTCCCTCAAGCCCTAGAACTAGATGCAATGCTGCTGTGATAGGGACTCAGCTGCATGGGTCAGGGCTGGGGCCTGGCACTCAGCGTTTGGCAAAGAGGCCAGGTAAGATCCTGCTGTTCACAGCAGAAGGACCACTCAGGCACAAACAATGTATAACGGGCTTTGCTAAGTACTACAATTCCAATGTCTGGCCACACCGGTGTACCCCAATCCTGTCCTTTAATGGCTCCAGAATATCCCAAGGTAGGGAGAAAGCATTGATTTACTTCATCCCTAGGTATATAATCAGCTCATTTCTAATTGTTCACCACTCCAAATGATGCCACAATGAACACTTCTACCTATAGATCTTTGGATGTCTGTTTGTGAGCAGGAGGCTGCAAACCAAATTTCTAGATGTGTACAAATGCTGGGTCATGGCATATGCTTATCCAGAAAGCAGGAACCAGGCCCTGTCTCCACAGGCTCAGGCTCACTCCCACTCATTAAGTTTCCATGCCGCATGCAGGCAGCCTTCCTTGAGCACCTCAGGAGGGGAGAGTATCTCTTCCCAAAGGATGACCGCTGCAGAGTGCACCTCTACCTCCTTATCATCTATAGGCTCCCATTCATCACCCACTGCCCCGTCCCAACAAGATGGTCTAGAACGCAGACCAGGGGCCATGTTCCAGCGATCTCAGTATTTCACATACGTCAACAGGTGCTCAATAATCTTTGCTAAATGGCATTAAACTAATCAAGACTACACGAAAAGGTTAAATTCCCAGAAGGACCATTCTATGGGTAAAAGCACCAGATCTAACCTGGATATCCTGTTTCAAGACTGGCTGGAAGCCTGGGGGAGGGCATGGTCATCTCTGGGCAGGACGAAGTTACAGGAATCCCTGATTCCAACGGGCACCACAAGATGGTGCTAGAACCCCGCTGAAGTAGATCCCTTCCCTCGGCCTGCCTGCAGCCAGGGGAGGGGCAGGGATAATCCAGGGGTCCCATGCCCCAAAGACACAGAAGCCATGCTTGCCAGGAGGAGGCCGTGTCCTCAGGGTTTCCATATCAATGTGTTTCTGGATCGGTAAGGGTCAGTCCCCCTTACCCCCAACACGCCAGGCCCCTCTGGCCTTACCTTTCCACACTACAAGGGACGTTTAAGGGAGTTCTGGTTTCTTCCTTGATGGAGCAGGCTTCTTTATCCTCCCCAGGTTCATCCTTTACCCACTGGTGGTTGGGGAAGAATTCCTTGCACTTCCCATTGTGTGGCTCCAGGATTCGTTTGGGCGGTCGGGGAGGAGGGGGGACGTGTTCGGGTGGGGGCTCCAGGTCCTCGTGGGAGAGCTCCTTCCATTGCTCCTGGAGAAAGCAGTACGAGAAAGTCCCATTAGTATCCACACTGGGCTGATGTGTCAGGAAATATGCTCCCCTTTAAGTACGCAGAGGCAAGGAGGTGCTCTCTGCTTCCTGGGTCTACAACATATACTTGGAAGGTGAAATCTTTTGAAAATAAAGTCTATTCTCCCTATCAACATTCTCTACATCAGCAAGTCAAATGCGGAAGTTGGATCATGGTGAACATTTCCACAACTTTCTAGCTATTTAGCCATGGAAGAGAGCGGTTTCTTCTGACATATGGTAGAGTATTTGCACTTTTACAACTGACAGCCTCCTTCTTCGGAGCCCAAAATTCAAAATCAACACACCCGGATGCAAGCAGAAGCAATGCTTACCTGCACTGAGGAGTCTCCCATGATGAATTTGGCACCTTCGATCACAGCTAGGTAGGAGAAACGGAGCTGGTCTGCTGTCTGGATCAGTCCCATCCGGAACTTCCTCATTTCTAACAGAACTTTCTTGATATCGACAGAAGAAGGGTCTTTCCTCTTGTCCATCTGAAAGCCAGAGAGGAGACCCAATTCAGCCAGCTCCAACTGCCAAGTACAATGTGATTTTCAACGTTCTGGAGGAGTGCTCCAATTTCCACTCGGGAAAAATCAAAGCGGGGAGGAAGAATTCTAGTAAATGTGAGAAAATGCAGCATAATTGGGACCAACGGAGCACAGAGGAAAGAATAAGAGAAAGGGATGCTTTGGATCTTCCCAGATTCCAATTTCCAATTAGGATTATCCCTCTGAACAAAGCTACTTGGAGTATAGCTACTTGCACAGGAGGAAAACTGTTAAAAATTGAAGATCAACGCTAGTTTACTGCAGAGACAATGACAGAGCAGCTGGGAAGCCACAGGGGGCTGAGACAGGCTTCTTTCTCTTCCCAGGGCCTGCAGGGGCCTCCTTACCAGCAAGAGGCAGGTGTCAGCCAGACAGAAGGTCCCAGACCTGCCGATTCCAGCGCTGCAGTGCACCACGATAGGGCCATGCTCCGTGCTGAGCGATCCCGACTCACGAACTTTAAAAAGAAAGTTCAGGAACGAAGCTGGTGATTCGGGGACTCCAAAGTCAGGCCACGTGGTATAGTGGAAATGTAAGATCTCTCGAGTTTCTTGAGACTTGAAAAAGAAAACACAAAAACAAAAAAACCCCACTCATGATGATTCTGAGAGACCTGCCTATACAAAAATCACTACGTCCGAGTAAGTGCAGAGTGTGCCCACCCCCACCCCCCCATCTACTTCTAAGAACAGCTTTTACTTCTCAGATTTCCTCCTGTCTGCTCACCCAGTCAAGAAAAACCAAACACTGGGGTGCCTGCCACTGGACCCAAAAGCTCCTCCTGCATCGACTTCCTTTCTTTTAGCATGGAACGTTCTCGCCCACATCCCTCCTCCAGTGCCCTATCATCTCTGCTGTCTTCACAGGTACAAGTGATTTCTCTCCACCCCACAAGTCACAATGACGCTATGAGGCCGCCCACAGCAATCCTGTCCTAAAAGCACTGTGAGGTTTCCCATGAAAGAGTAAAAACGTAACTGCATGTGTGTGGCACCAGCTCTTGATAACTCAGGGCTTTACAAGAGTATCTGGAAGTCTCAGAGAACTGTCATTGTAGAGAAAAAAGTAACTCAGTCTCCAAAGACTGGCGGCTGCCATGTGTGGCTCAACACCCAGCTGGCTGACGAGGAAGGTGTCAACAACACTGCGTTCTTGCACTGGACACATCAGGTCACCCAATTCTCGTACTGACCCTTCGAGGCATGTATTCCCATTATTCCCCTTTTCTCAACTAGGAGACTGAGGCTTGGGGGCCAGTCCTCCATTCAGTGAGGAAGCAGAGGTTTAAACCTAAGTTTGCTTGACTTCAGGGCCCATGTTCAGAGCCCGCAGTAGGAACTTCTGAAACGAGGGCTCTGGCTCTTGTCCCCAAGTGTTTTTCCTGCCCGCCTGGTCTGCTCCAGTGGAACAGAAAGCCTTCTTTGGCCTCTGGTGCCATTTCCAGCTCTACTCCTTCCTCTGAACCTATGAAGAGTCCATTCCCAGGGTGGACACCTGGTCTCCAGCAGCAATGATCAAAATGTAGTTCTCACTGGGGGGAGAGCGCTGAAGATTTTCCTACACTAAGAGCACACAGTAAATGGGAGCCAGTCTTACTACAGAGTAAGCAAGCCCTCCAGCCAGTGAGTGACGGTGTGCACAGGAAGAAGGCGTACAGACAGGAATCACGCCGCCTCAAGCATCTGCCTGCTGCGTGCTGCCAAGAGCCATGTCAGTCCCTAACGTCACCTAGGAGCAAAATGCTTTGGGACAGAGGTCTGCTTACTGACAATGTCTCCCTTTACTTAGCAAGATGTCCACAATGTGTCTACCATGTGCCAGCCACCGTGCCTGGCATGATAAGGTAAAGACGCTGCCCCTGCCCTTCCAGAGCTTCCAGCTTTAGTTGTAACAACCTCCCCAGGCCCAGTGTGATGATAACTTGTGAAAGAAACAAAGATAAACACCAACGAACTAACCTCAGCAAAGAATACAAGTATGTAACCCAGAGCACCAGCTCTGACACATGGGTATCCTTCTGCAGATGACAAACATGGCATTGGGATCATTTACAGAGCCACACAAAGCAATGCCATTTTTTTCCTCCTTAGAAAATGGTCTCCTCCTCATATGGCTCAAAATGAGAGATGCCTTTTCAACTTTTTAAGGAAAGAAAAACACTTAAAAATAGATTTTAAAAACAGATTAAGAAGAAAACATACCAAACGCAAGTTCCTTCTTTGAATCATTAAAAAGGTGTAGGTTGTCTCCTGTTAACACCCTCCCTCACACCTGCCCACCTCTTTCTTGAGGAATCTGCTCTAGACCTGTGCCTGAACAGATACACGTCTGGGAAAAGAACTTTTAAGAACAAAGTCTGTTAGAGCAAACAGCCTCCAACATCAAAACCTCCACCCTGCTGCATGTGCTCTGCCATGCAAGTAGCTCAAACTCCTCTTGCTCCGTCTGAGTTCCATTTCCCTCAACAAGCAGGAGAAATTTTCTCAAGAGTTTACCAGAAGTCACTCTTAACATCAGGCTTGCAAATTTTAAAAAGCATGAAAAAGAACGTCTACTACATAATCCTCCAGGCACATTCCAACACGCTGCCAACAGTATTCCTGAAAATCCTCTGTCAAACCCCTCCATAAATCACAGCCTCAGAGCCCTGTGTGTGGGGCTGCAGCAGGCTCGTAGCTGCAGAGCACTTGCATGGAGACATGCGCTCAGGAACTGCACCGCCGCATTCCGCAGAAGCCACGCGACTTACTTCCCTCTGCTGCATGTTAACCTGTGCTATGTTCTAGATCTTACTTTAGTTAGTAATTCAACAACAGGAGTCATGTGGGCTGGCAAGTAGTCAGCTGAAAACTAACATGTGAACATAACTCTCAGGGGCAGGCCCCCAGCAAGCTCCCACCCGAGTCAGTACTGCTCCCGCCTTCCCTTCAGCTTGCGGGTGGGTACTGCTCCCTGGGTAACCCCGTTACTTCAACCCCACAGAACCTGCTAATCCTTCCTATAGATTACCTTCTGAAGCCTCACAAAACCCCCATCTGAAAGAAAAGGAAACTGAGACACAGTGAGACAGGATGCCCCTCGCCCAAAGTCTGACAGTTTGATATGGTAGAGCCAGGATTCCATCCCAGGGAGTGGGCCAGAAGGTAGTGGCTGACTGCCATGCCCGAGGACGTCCCTAGGAGCTGCTGTGAGCTCCCACCTGCTGCTGCCAGTACTAGCACAGGGTCCTCAAGTGATGGCTGCTGGTGAATTATTTAGAATCGCCATGGGCAGGGCGTTCTGCTTTTTAGCACTGTGTCTTGACCTGTTCCAAGACCATCTTCCAAGGAGAGCCAGCAGCTGGTGTTGTAAGTTCTTCCCATGACAAATAAGCCCAAGACCTCAGTTAGGAAACATACAATGATTATATGATCTTGGGAGTCAGCCCTAGAAGGGCCCTTCTTCTCTTGCTTCAAGCTAAAAAGACTCTGGACAACAAAAGAGGCAGTGGCTGCTAAGTAACTTGCAACTACCACTTCAGTCTCACTGCAGCTGCAAAGATAGGAACAGAGAAGTTTTAGGTGAGAAACTCCTTTTTCCCAAGAAACTGTGATGAACCAGTGTTACAGTTTAGGGAGAGAGCTCTGTAGACAAGGAGGGACCTAAGGACCCCCAGGACTCACCATCCCCACACCTAGCTCCCCTGGTCACCTGGTATGTAAGCAGGTAGGCTCTGCTTAGCATAGTGCTAAGATCACATCTTGCTCAGAGTGTACAAACTCAGGAAAGCTGGCATTAGGTAGTATCACAAGTGAAAAAATACCTCAACCAGTGGCCACTGGAAGTGCGGAAGTACATGCCATACTCACTGCAAGGTTCTCCAATTCCAGCTGCCGTACTGTGTAATACGACTTAATATCTTCAGAGATCAAGGTTAATTTCAAATTTGTGTCTTCAAAGATCATTTCTCTTTCTTCTTTTTGTGGCCAGTACTGCGCACATTTTAACTAGGAGAGAACATGATAAATTACTGTAAGCAATGGACTGTTTTCCTATGAAGGGAGGTATGGAGTACCTTTCATGAGCTTTAGGATAACCCTAAGGAAAACCGGGGGTTTTCTGACCTTGGAGGTCACTGCCAGTGTAACCTACCTGCCCCCTGGGGAGATGGGGGGAGGGCGGTGAAGACCCACAGCTGGTTGGGCAGAGAGGGCTCAGACCTCCAAACACAGCCACCCCCTGGTTCTCCCCATATAGGGAGGTGCTTCAGGGGCCTGGCCCTTCCAGACCATCAATGAGGTGAAGCCAGACTGTACAAAAGCTTTCATCTCTCACAGACGACTTTGGTAGCCATTTCAAAGATTTTAGTGCTGTTGGCACAACGCAGACCCCCTACCCTGGGGACAATAACCCAGTCTAGAGGAGACTGGAGCACCGTGAACAGGTGGTCAAGCCCCAAGTTAGACTCCCTCTCCCTGCTCATGCATGTGAGCTCCATCAAATAAATAAATAGAAGTCTTTAAAAAAAAAAAAAGGCCTCTGACAGAGGCGTGCTGGGAGGGATGACTAGGATTTCCTACGCAGTGACTGCCCAGAAGCCAGTCTCAGGGGAACAGCATGGGACAGCGTCAAGGGAGGACCAGACTGCAGTGACTCTGGTGCAGGTCCAGGAATCCACGTTGTCACCTGGGCAATGAAGAGCCAGGAGGCTCCTGAGCAGAGTGGAGACCAAATCAGGAAGGCCTACCAGTCCTGCTCTAAGGAAGCTGTATGCTGCCCAAACAACAACAGAAAAAGAAGAAACAAACCAAGAAACACCAGATTGTGATGCCAACAGAGCATCAAAACATCAGAAGACCAACAGGACTTTCTAAAGAGCCTGGACCAGGCCTGTTTGAAACACTTAGCCAGTTTCACCCATGTCACTTCCCTAACACTGATGAAGAGTTGCCAAAGATGAACCCCTGGACAATCCTGCCCCTCAGGACTAGAAAGCATCAGTGACATGGCAAGGTCCCCTGCTTGGCCAAAGGGGGTGGGGCAGCTGAAAGGAGGACTTGAGCAGACATATCAAAGATGCACTTCTTCCCACACTTCCAGTAATTAGACCCATGCAATTCCTGAAGACCCCAGAGGCAGAGAGACTGTGACAGGCTCGATGACACATGTGCTGCAGCGTGCACCCAATGCCACGAGCACAGAAGCATAAATGCAGAATGGCCAGGCACTTCCAAGGAAAAGGCCAATGCTTTTGGGTCTCACGGGCAGGGAATAAGAGGCTCTTATATCTCATCTCCACACAGCAAACACTTTTAAAACTCAATATAAAGCCTAATGAATCTGTGATCTGGGTAAAGACCACTACTGCACAATTCTGGGGCACAGTGTCAATCAAGCATCATTTATTTTTTTAAAGAGCTCTCAGGCATTTACAGTAACATGCCATGCTCTGCTTGCTGTCATTTCCTGTAGAAATCGTTTTAACACAAAATAAAACAAAAAAACAAGCATGAGAGCACTACTTCCTGCTCTTCTATTAAACTGATATTGAAAGAGACTTATTTTATTAGAAAGCAGTCCTTCATGAAGATTCAAATTGTGCCACATCCTCGGTCGGCACCAAATGGCAGCGCCCTTACCACATTGAAGCTGGATGTAAGACAGGCCTTGGGGCCTTCCAAAACAGCTAGGCAGTCTTCAGAAAAATCCATGAACATCACCTGGGGTGACCCCATGATGGATGATTTGGCTTTCCCAAGGAACAACAAACCAGAGAGCTAACCAAGCAGCAAACGGATGAAGCCTGAAGTTCCCACAACACAAATCCAGAGTCTCATCGTGCACCATAGCAGTGAAATCAAACAGCACCTTTAGCCGGGGTTTTGGGAGAGAGGGGAAGGCGACGTTCCTGGTTAAACATCGCCTTATTTACTTCCCCTCCCTAAACAACAACCGCTGCCCTTATACATAGACGCACTCTTCATGGACGTGTCTCAACTCAATCTTTGAATCAAACCCACAAGAACTTGGGCGGCTTGGATGAGCCCTAACACACATAATCATTTTCTACACCACTGTTTTCCAGGAAGCACAAGGTCTCAAAAGGTAACAGGCAGGTCTGTGAAAACTAAGGGGCACATCCTACACTAATCAGAGAAGGAAGGAAATCAGAAAACAAATATGCATTGCATGGCAACGCTCTGGGAGCAGGTTCTTACTGCGGGCTGTATGCAGAATTACATCAGCTGAATAAATAAGACACTTCAACTTCTTAGAATTGTCCCCAGTCAGCTGTATTGGGGAAGATAATGTTAGTGCCGAACTGAAATTGTTGATCCCAAGAAACTTTAAGAATCTCAAGCCATGGGGATCCCTGGGTGGCTCAGCAGTTTAGCACCTGCCTTTTGGCCCAGGGTGGGATCCTGGAGTCCAGGGATCAAGTCCCACATGGGGCTCCCTGCATGGAGCCTGCTTCTCCCTCTGCCTGTGTCTCTGCCTCTCTCTCTCTCTCTCTGTCCCTCATGAATAAATAAATAAAATCTTTAAAAATAAAAAGAATCTCAAACCACGCCAGTGTGCATGCCTGAATGACCCTGAGCAGAAAGGATAGTTACACAGGAAAATAGAGATCATGTGTCATGTGATCACAGTAAATAAACTACATGAAAACCAACAAGCCAGGTTTCCTTTTTTTGTTTTTAATGGCCAAGGGGAGAAGTTGTCACAGTGGACAGATGGTCCATTCACAGTCAGCCTTGAATGGCACGTGACCAAGCGCAGGCCTACTGGTCAGCATGCATCTACAGTGCCAGGTTAGCGACTCCCTCGTCGGGGCCAATGGCAAAGAGGTTTCCCTAAATCTTTAGTAACAAACGAATAAAAAGGAAAATCTACCGTATCCGATGATTTCTGAATAAATAACTCAATTTAAAATTCCCAAGTCCGGGGCAGCCCCGGTGGCTCAGCGGTTTGGCGCCGCCTTCGGTCCAGGGCATGATCCTGGAGACCCGGGATCAAGTTCCATGTCGGGCTCCCTGCATGGAGCCTGCTTCTCCCTCTGCCTGTGTCTCTGCCTCTCTCTCTCTCTCTGTGTGTCTCTCATGAATAAATAAATAAAATCTTTAAAAATAAAATAAAATTCCCAAGCTCTCAACACCATCTAGAATGGCGCTTCTCAACAGGGGGAATTTTGCATCCCAGGGGACCCTGGACAATGTCAGGAGAATTTCTGATTGCCACACGTGGGGTGAGGGTGCCTGTGGCATCTCACGGGTGGAGACCAGGGGCATTGCTACTGGCCTCCAATGCAGAGGAAAGCCCCCGTGAGCAGCACTGAGGCCTGGATGCTATTCGGAGCTGAATACTGGCTGGGGTCCCCGGGTCTCACTTTCCTTTGCGGGGTGTGTGTGCTGTGGGAACCTCAAGTTTGTTTCTTTTATTCAAAATTGCTGACAAGAGTGGTGATGGGTGGGAGCTGGCTTTGCCTTTGTAACTTCACATTTTACTAATCAAACCACTGAAGCAGAAAACATTAAAAAAAACACTTTCGCTGAAAAAAAATTTCTCAGAAACATTCCATTTTTTGAACACTCAGGTAAGCTCTTCGGCTGTTATTATCATGCGAACAAATGCTTCAAGAAAAGGGGGTGGCAAAAAGCAAGAATTCAAACTCATGCTGGCATAAGAGGACAGGACAGGAGGCTCTGCTGTAACTAAGACTGTCGCTTCACTTCCAGTGGGGGGAGGGGAGGAGCTTTGTGGTGAGTGCTTCCCGTTTCACCACTGACGTTTCCTTTGATGTGTTACTTCTCTGCACTTGTATTTTTACCCTGTAGGGCCATGACTGTGCTTTCTTTGAAGGGGCGGCTTCTCCAGAGTGTTCTCTGGGTGAGCCAGGTCCTGAGGCAGCCAGGCGCAGCCGTGAGAGCAGTGGCCCAGCTGGGCCGGAGCGCACAGTGCCAGCCCTGCCAGGCCTGCGCACATGCGGTTCTGCATATCTGGCCGCTCACTCCTGTTGGTGTCCACAATCCTCAGCCTACCTTCTCCCAGGACCTCCTCCTCTGAGGCTGGAGGGCCCCAAGTGGTGCTGGTTATGGTGGGAGAGGAGGGTAAGAGCCAGGGTCACAGGGGTGTGGTGTCTATTCACTATGTTGATACCACGCTGTGCCCTGGACACCATATTGCCTTCCACGGGAGACAGGCCTCTAACAGGCAGGCTGCAGAGTGAGACTGGGGAGAGCACGAGCTGTGGCCGATCTGAGGGAAGCACCTGGAGATACCTACGAGGAGGTGGGGCTGGGCACAGACTCAGACTGTTAGGCCAGAGAACCTGGCAAGAATCTAAGAACGGAAGTGTGTTCTGCCTGGAGTTTGGGGATGGAGGTGCGAGGCTGGGGTCCAGGTTAACTAGGTCCGTGGCCACATTATGCACATCCCAGGAGGCAACGGGGGCCACACAAGGGTTTTCAGCTGGGAAGAGGTGTGGTTTCAGCTGGTTTTGAAAGACCGTTCTGGACACCGGGGGTAGGACACATTGCAATCAAGTGGAGAGGCCACGGTGGGGACTAAGGGACAGATGCACGCGCGCAGGGTGCTGCCCAAACCGTCACACACCTCCAGTCCACATGCTATCCCAGGAGAGGTTTTAAGAGTCACAGACAACTCAGAAGAAAAGCTAACACAAATCCTGCAGTACACGCACAAGCACACAAGGTCCATATTAGAGAGGTGGCCAGGGGTCAGGTGGCCGGGTGTCTGACAGGCCAATTCTGAGCCCGGCTGCTCCCGCAGCTCACTCAGTGGGAGGCTACTTGTACCAGCTAGGAAAGCAGTGATGAAAAAGAAGGAAGAGAAGCTTGCTTTTCTCAAGGAAGCTCCGCTCACACGGCTCCAGAGAGGAGCAGCAGCAGCACTCCTGGGTGGAGTAAAGCAGAACATGCACAGGCACTCTGGCGAGAGACCAACTGACGGGGGAAGGAGTCAAGGGCAATTGGGCTTTTCCCTCTCTTTTTAAATTATTTACTCTCTTGACTCATTAATAAACATGTATTTATACTGCTTCTGTAAATTTTTCTAATAAAAAAGATACCGCGTTAGGAGAAATACAAAGGCAGCTTAAAGAAAGAAACTCTCACAGACAGGTACACATAGGACAGTGAGGTGAGCAGTAGATGAATCCATGACTTACCGATCCTTTCTCCATCACTCTGTTGAGCATGACAACGCCCCTGCTTTTCTGCTCCCACACCATCTCCCAAAAGTGACCACATGTGTTAGGCAAAGGGCCCTGCAAATACACAATCCACAAAGCGTATACCATTTTACACACTGACACGCTCCAATGCGAGCACACCACTGGCGGTTTAGCAGACAACAGCGCCCCGAGGCAGAGTGGTGGTTGGGGTTGGGACAGGGACCGCCCTCCCTGCCTAGTGGTCAATAACCGCAATTCTATTTTCTGCCACGCGGTGAAAGGTTATTTCTGCTTCTCAGGGCTGCTTCAGGGCTGACCAGCAGAGGAGAGAAAAGGCTGAGTCTGCTTTCTGGTTTGAGTTGACTGGTGGAGGGGCTCCACTGAGGTCCTTCGTGAGGCAGAGGCTGGGTGGAATACGGAGTGAAGCCAGTGGGTATAGGCAAGAGGCAGTATGGGAAAGCGATCATTAGTGACACTTCTGATGGCTCGAGTCTAGGCTTTAATCACTTATCATCTGTGTGACCTTGGACAAGTGGCTCCACATCTCCATGCCTCAGTTTCTCCACCCATCACACTCAGCTAATCAGTCCTTATTTACAGGGTTGTGAAAGTTTATATGTTTATACATATAAAGGCCTTACCATAGCACTGTGTTCCACAGTCAACAACCAGTAAAATGTTAACTGCTATCACTACTAATTATTACTATTACTAATGACGGACCTGATAATGGCCTGCCTTTATCCTTAGAACAGGAACGTAAGAGATGTAGACACAAATGATCACTCGGTGGTCCAAGGGGGTTCAGTGTGGGACTGGGACACAGTGGGGTGTTTGCCAACCCGGGAATGGGCACAGATGTTTGCTGGATACAAGAGTACAAATGCCTCCAGTTTGTGGCAAATGTTAGCACTATCTGGAAGGGACATCACTTCTTACCTCCATGACAGAGCCTGTCACCTATGCCAGCACCACATCTAGAATGGCTTCCAGTCTCATCTGTTCTCATCCAAATTCTCCTGATTCTCTGCATTCTTTCCCTTCAAGTCCCACTACACCTTCCTTACCTGACCACATGAGCCCTTAGTGCCACTCACTCTCTTGAACTCAGCTGCTTCTGGCTGCCTAAACAGGACACATACGTGCTCCAGAGGGAGCCTCCGACACCAGCAGATGCATAACCCTTTCCGGTCAATTAATAGAAAAATGGCTCCTAGAAGACAGGAGTCCTGGGGCCTCTGGACAGGCCACCATACTTTTCATCCTGCAGTCTGGGCACAAGGACCAGGTCTCACAGCTGTGGCTCTCACCCGTTACCAGCCTGTCATTGTCCCTACTTTCCATCACCCTAGTTTTGGATGGGGTTCAGAGATTAAAAATCATGTAAGATCTGAAAGGAGACACACCAGACTTAGCCAACACTTCATTGTGGAGGTGACAGAGGGCACCTTTGACATTATTCTCTACACTTCCATACCACTGCCTTTTAAAAAGAAAAGGGGGGGGGGACTATAAACTGGTGCTATTTGCACAATGAACAATATTGTAAATTTACAAAATGGGCAGGATTTTCTTGGTTTTGTGGCTCGGAAAATGTGTACCTCCAACTGTCTAGAGGCACAACTCTGGGGTCAGGCTATTTCAATTCCTTTTATAAATCCCAGGGCAAAGGGTGACCATGCAGGCAGATAGATTTATCCATGTTACCAACCTGACAAAAAAAGAGACCATCAGATGTGCCAAGTAATTGCTAGGGTATGGGGGTGGGGAAGAGGGTGGTATAACAGTTTCCATGGTGATATCTTAGTGCTCCATTTGACTTTATACCCCTATCTATCTTTGCGCTGGACTTCCTAACTCCACACCAAAGCTGAATGGCTAAAATCAGTAAGTAAGAAACCTGACTTCTTCTAAAAAGAGAAGTTGCCAAGAAGCCACCTTTCCCTCAACCTCTTCTTGCCAGCCTGCCACTACCAGGATTTCCCTCCTTCTCACTCTACCACAACCACCCTGAAGATGTTGGGAAGATCACAGGCTGAGGCCTGGTAAAAGGCCTGCCCCTGACACACAGATCAAGAACATCCTCAATGGCCCCAGGACACAGCATAGCTGATGTCCCATACACTGGGAGGCACTTGGGCTGATATTTCTCATGGACAGAGCAGAAACGGGACAGAACAAGATGGGGCAGGAAAGAAGAGCCATGGGCAGTATGCCCTGATCTGGCTCCCTGCTCCAAGACAGCCTTTGCTCATGCACTTTTCTAGCTTTGCTGTCATTTTAATCCCCCAGTATTAAACAGATGTACAATGTTCAAAATCACCTTATACCCTAAAGCCATACAGAACACTGATAAATGGATATGGAATGAGAAGGCAAAAGCTATGACTAAAAAGTTAGAGTGACTTACAGGTAACAGACTAAGACTTGAGAAAATGAATTAAAAAGGAACTTCTCGGGTTCCCTGGGTGGCGCAGCGGTTTGGCGCCTGTCTTTGGCTCGGGGCGCGATCCTGGAGACCCGGGATCGAATCCCACATCGGGCTCCCAGTGCATGGAGCCTGCTTCTCCCTCTGCCTGTGTCTCTGCCTCTCTCTCTCTCTGTGACTATCGTAAGTAAATAAAAAAAAATAAAAAATAAAATAAATAAAGTTCAACATTTAAAAAAAAAAAAAAAAAGGAACTTCTCTATCCTCTTTCCCAGATACCCATGGTCTTGGGGTCATATGCCAGGAAGTGTTTCTACAAGAAGGTTAAATATTAAATCACTCTTATGATTTTTTTTTTCCATAAGGATGCCAAAAGCCAGTGGGAATTTTAAATGATTTTCCATGCTTGTCCACATAATCTAAGGATGCTTTTTTTCTGAGCCAAAGAATGAGGACCAAGCTGAGGAATTCTGAGCGGACACCCGGACAAAGATTACGGGTCTACTGCTAACCCTCTTTGATTTCTGTGAGCAGCACTCGATACTCTGAAGTTGAGTTAGGAAACCAACACAGGAACGGGCCCTTCTCTTGCCACAGCTCTGCTGCCTCTGTCAGTGGACCACAGGCAATTCGGGCATTTCATGCTGTTTTCTGTAAGCCCAGCAGCAGTATACTTCCCAGAAAAGATGCATGTTACAACCAAACTGAATCTCTGAAGGAAGATTTTTCCTTCCTCGTTGTTCTTTTGGATTGTGGAAAACCTGACCTTCTAAAAGATGTAGCAGGTTTTATTTGAAGTACAGATGACAGCACTCTAAAATTCTTAAGTTGACATCAAGTAAGGGCAAAAAGCCACTAAAAAAATTTTGGACAATTCATTTACCTGGGTAAGAATGTAACTCCTTTGGGCTTCTTCCATCTTTATCAAACTGGCGTTGATGTAGTCATTATCTTCTTGATGTAGTTTAATCCGACTATGGTCAACTGAAAGGCAAGTCAGAACTCGAAGGTTAGTCCTGGATGACCAAAGTGTCCACACAGGCAGTGCACCCCATGGGGAAAGCAAAAAAGGTGAGTCGGTGGCATTAAGGGCATTTGCATGTTTAATTGAGATTAGTCATCAATATAAGGATGACTTAGTATTTTCAGAAAAGTTTCTGGAAGTGTTTGAAACTTCTGCTAAATAGCAAGAGACAAATTACACTAAAACATGGGTTCTTTCCTAACTGGATAAGCTGTTTTTAGGTCCCACACTTATCACTGCCCCATAACTCAGGAGGCTGTGAGGAGGGGTTGTCAAGGGATCTGTTTTCAGATGCCTAGTATATACTTTCATATGGTAAAAAAAAATACAGTGGCTTCAATCTTTAAAAGGGGGAAAAAATACAACAAAAATTTCACCCAGTCCTTAAAGCTCTAGTTGGTACAATGAACCACCATAGGTAGGATTTATGATCATCTCTCCATCTAACCTATGTCTAATGATTTGATGATGAAATGACCTAAGTAGATAGTGGTGTGGAAAGGGATACCTCGAATTCCTTTATGTCAGTTTTTTGGTTTCTTTTTAAGTTTTGAGTGTAAAACACTTAAATGATTCTAATCTATGAATTAAATTCAACTAGAATTGAATTCTAATATTTCAAATTCAGAAACTGTCATGATCAAAGACATTTAAAAGATACTTAACTGGAAAAAATTAACTCTGAATCCAAAATACTGGAAGTACACTTAAACGTAACTTTCAGAAGTTTTTAAAATTTAACTCTCATTTGGAAGGTCTGCACCAGGTTACTGAAAATGCATAGCCACTTTTTTTTTTTTCCTTTCACCATGACTTGGTCACAAAAGCAGTGGTTCCCTGGGGGCCACTTTCCTTACTCTGCTCATGTAGCAAACAAGAACAGGTGGGTATTTTTATTTCTGGTACAATGCAAGGAATGATGAACCCAGGTGACCATTCATAAATACTATCTTCTCTTCTCGAGCCCAATGGGAAAGAAGTTAAGGGGGGACACATGGTTTGGGGCCTTTTGTTCTAAAGGATTCCAAGGAAATGTTTTTAAAAATTCGTCACCATTTGGAATAGTGTTTCTCATCTCAGAGGATTAATACGAATTCAAATACTTGGGTAATATTTAAGTAGTAGACATTAAAGATCTCAAAAAAGATGATGAGACCATATAACCCATTGATGGGTTACATGAATGGGTTCAAACAGCACCTGAACAGAGTTCAAGATGGGTGACCTTGGACAAGCAATTCTGAGCCCTGGGCTTCTTATTTGCCAAATGGAAGACAAGACAACAAAATCACTTTCTACCTTCAATCATTCTCCCCATGTTCCCTGTGACCCTAAGAGCAAATTCTCTGTTGCTGGACAGTGGAGTTGGGGGAAAACAAGAGAAACAGAAGTGAGATTAGGGGTGAAAAGGTTTGGGAACTGTTTCCTGGAAGAGTATTTTAAATGCTTTATTTCCTCTGTAAAACTGGCTCATAAAAACATTTAGATGAGCACTGATGAAAAATGTAGAAAACGATGTATTAAGACATTACTGACTAGTGCAGAGGAAGGATGGCAAGGGGGTCTCTCCTGGCTCTGCATGAAAGATGCCAACAGTGACTGTTCATTGAAGCTCAGAGTAGCTGGCCAGGACCTCACAACAGAATCACCTGAGGAAAGCTTTGTTTTATTGATAAAACCTACTAAGTGCCACAGCCTAGACATGCTAAATCAAGGTGCTGGGGTGCAATAACGTGCCACTTGATGGCCTAGCACTACACTTCAGATGTGTCTGGTGTACGCCTTTAGTTAATAGCCACTGTTGGTTAATCTCAACCACAGTGAATATTTATGAGCAAGATACTGAGCTAAGTGGCTTATGTTATTTTATTTCATCTTCACACAATCCTGAGATCTGCATGGCGACTCTCCTGCGGACACCACCAAATGCTAGCACCCACAGGAGTGGCGTGACTTAGGCATGCAGGAAGGGCCTGCGCAAGGGAGAACTGATGGAGACTTCTATATTCCTGGCAGATGGAAGGCATTGCCACGGGAGATGCTGGCAGCTACAGTCCTCTCTGATGGACAGGGTCTAACATCCTGGGAGGTGATTTATTTTTATTTTTTTTAAAGATTTTATTTATTTATTCATGGACACACACACACACACACAGAGAGAGAGAGAGAGAGAGAGAGAGAGAGAGAGAGAGAGAGAGAGAGAGGCAGAGACACAGGCAGAGGAAGAAGCAGGCTCCATGCAGGGAGCCTGATGTGGGATTCAATCCCAGGTCTCCAGGATCACGCCCTGGGCTGAAGGCAGCATTAAACCGCTGAGCCACCTGGGCTGCCCCCTGGGAGGGGATTTAAAAGGTCCTCCGTGGCCTCGGTTCTCCATGGCCTAGAGGAGATGGCAAAGTTCATGCTCTTTACTTGGCTCCAGTTTTTCTTGCTTTACATAAATTCTAACATGTTTAGTTCTTGACTTTTGAGATTTCAGCAGATTCAGAGCCAATTACTCAAAAGGCAGAGGAGGCGGTCAGAGGCCAGAAGGCACACTGAAAGATAACAGCAAGAAACAGCTAAAGAATGAGGATGGCAGTGGAGGGTAGGGTGGGTGGGGGTGGAACAAGCAGAGCTGTCTTTAGTGTGTGGGGGGTGCACCACTCCTACTCCTTAATGGCTGTGCAGGGCATCATTACAGTTCAATACGATGCTCAGGGTCTAATAATACTGTTGCTGAGTCATCCAGAAAAGGTTATATTATGCCTACTATACTCTGCTTCAGCTGGTAGGAAAATGATTCATCATAAAAATAGTCAAAACTAAAAAAAGTGCTTTGAACTTAGCTGAATTTTCCAGAAACTGAAACCTCATTCCTTCTACAATCATGGAAAAAACGAACCGTTCCTCTCCGTCTCTGATGCCTTTATTATAGGAAACCACCAAGTCATAGACCTGTACAGACCTGTACTACTATCGATTTATTAGTAAAGCCCATGGGCTCAAGGGGTGCCGGCGGAGAAGGCTGCGGCTGAGCACCCAACAGAAACAGTGAGACTGGTAACGGTGATGTGAATACTTACAGGGACTGACATCTCTGTACCTGTTTCGGTTTTTGTTCTTAGGGAGCTTGGCCACTCTACACGGAAAGTCACTGGCTTCATGTCGGATATCCTACCAAAAAAAAAAAAAAGGATAAAGAGTTCTCTTTTGAAGTCTCTGGCATCAGGAATCCATCCAGACATATAAGTATGCACCATGGACTATATTGCAGGCACTGAGAGGACTTGGGACAGAAACACACATCAAACAGAGCGAGGCAGTGTGGGAAATCCAAGGTGATAACTCAGAGGCATGTGCAAGGTCATGAAGGGAAACCAGATGATGAACCACCACATGCCTGCAGTGGAAGGAAGGCACGGGGCTGAAGCTGGGAGACGGAAAGGGGGGGGCTCTTCCAGGAATACCCAGCACAGCAAAGGCAGGACAGTGAGTGGGCTGCCAGGAGCAAGGACAGGCAGCTGGAGCACACAGGTGGGCAGGCAAGATCTCGGAGAGCCTTGAACATCACGCCTGGGAGCTCCATCTGTAACCCTGGACAAAGCTACAGTTATTGAGAGCAGATAAAATGCTCTTTTATGCCAAGAATTACTCAGCTGCTTTCCAAGGAGATGGTAGACAAATCCCATTACACCAAACTGTCAGAAAGAGGAAGCACCTGGGAACAGAAGACCCAAACTATGCCTCCTGCTAGACTGATCGCATGCATCTAATTTTGCTTTTCTAAAACCCCATGATAATCCCATTTAAAAATATTTTCTTTCTAATTTTCTAATTATTAAAAGATAAATCCATACAACAATGTAAATGTATGTACTGCCCCTAAGCTATATATCTAAAAATGGTTACAACAGTAAACTTTGGTATTTTTTAAACTACATTTAAAAGAAAAAGACAAACTCACAGGAGAGGGCAGAACAGGAGAAGACAGCAGCAACAGAAATTTTGGAAGCTGGAAATCTTATTAGTAGTTGGCAGGTCTGAGAAGGCTCAATTACAAGCCAACAGTGGGGAAAGCTGAGAACCATCTGATTTCCACCATAGAATTCTACGGAGGCTCAGGAAGTACTGTTTTTTGGAGGGAGCAGTGGGATTCATTGCAAGGGACAGGGCTGGAACTATCTGTGAAGAAACAGGTCTCCCCATCGCCCCCCTTTCCATGCTGCTGGGTGCTGCTAGGTGACTGCCACCCCACACCACAGAACTCTGGACAATGTAAATCAGGAGGAGAGTGCTTTCTATGCGATCTGAGCAGACAAGAGGAAAGACCACAAGATACTATTATTAGGATGTGCAAGGAACAGCCTAGCTAGTGCTGTTGAGCTGATGAGCCCCTTCCACCTTCTCAGAGCTTTCAATCTGCCTTGTGAGCCCCAACTCTTCATCACACATGGACAACCACTGATGCTAAGATGTGAGAAGAAAGCCTCTAATTTATAAAAAGATTTACAAGAAAAACAAAACAGGACTAAAGCTCCTTGGAAGAAATAAACTACAGAGAAAAGAAAGTTTTAAAAAATATATCATTAATATACTCAGATAAGAAAAGATATTGTATCCATAAATTAAGAACAAGATGTTAGGTAAAGGTAGAAGAAATCCTCCCAGAAAGTAAAGCACTTCCATCCCCAAAAAGCCACAATAGAAAATTAGGGAAACAAACAAACAAACAAACAAGGAAAGAAAACATTAAAAAAAAAAAAATCAAGAAACTCTTCCAGACCCATCAAATGCTCATCATAATGATAAAAACAGACCTATACTAAGGCATATTGGTATGTGATTCCAGAATCCTTCAAAGAAAATATTCTGGGGGCACCCGGGTGGCTCAGTTGGTTGAGTGCTGGGCTTCTTGGTTTTGGTTCAGGTCATGATCTCAGGGTCCTGGGACTGAACCCTTCATTGGGCTCCATGCTCAGCAGGGAGTCTGTTAAAGATTCTCTCTTTCTCTCTGCCCCTCCCTCCCATGCACTCTTGCTCTCTAAAATAAATAAATCTTTTAAAAAAAAGAAAAGAAAGAAAAAAACCCTTTAAGTTCCTAGAAAGAATATAGTTCACATTCAAAGGATAAGGTCATTAAAATGGCCTTAGACTCTGTGAGAACATTGAAAGGTAGACAGCAATGGAGCAATGCTTTTAGAATCTGAAGCAAAATGATCTCCAACCTAGAATTCTACATCCAACCCAATTATCAGCAAGTGAGAAGGGGCAATGAATTAACACTGCAGAGAGGCAAGAACTCAACACTTTACCATACCTAAATTCCCATCCTCAGCAATCCACTGAGCCTGTCTTCTTCTACCCAAGGGAAGAAATAAACCAAGAAAGAGAAAAATATAAGCTATAGTAAGGAAAAAAAAACATCTGACACAAGACCAAAGGAAACTTCCACTCAAACTGTGGAGGGAGGAGCTCCCAGATGCCCAGATTTAGGAGCAAGCAGGCCAGACTGGAGCAGTAGGACTCAAGAGACAGATGTGTCAGTGACATGCCTTTGTCCACCATACCCACTGTGACTGAAAGAAACCACCAGAAGGAAATGAGAAGACCTGAAATCCCAGAAATGGGGAATCCAATCAAGAAAAATAGAGGAAGTTTCAAGGATGAAAGCTGCCTCTGCCAGGCCTACAGACCAAGCAAGCCAGAAAAAAGGAGAAGAGAGGTCTTTAGAACAGATGATGCCTCTAAAACAAAAACTGAAACCGAGAAATCACCTGAAATTGCTCCAACACAGCAGCCACTACCCATATGCAGCTACTGAGAGCACATGAGAGGTGGCCAGTCTGAAAAGAGTGTAGAACTGCCCATCAGATTCTGATTACAGTACTAAAAGAGCAAAGTAAAATATCTCAAACATTTTCAGTAATGTTTCAGTAATGCTGAAATAATATTTTGAACATATTGGAGTGAATACACTACTATTAATCTCATCTGCTTCTTTTTACCTTTTTTCCTGTGGCCACTAGGAAAGGTGAAAGTAGGCAGGGTGCACTGTATTCCTACTGGCCAGTGCTGACTGACCTTGTGGAAACCTGTCTGAGAGGCTCTAGGAGGTATGGGATGAGGTAGCAACAGGCAGAAAGAAGCCTTTGCAAATCAAAGTATACAAGGCGATTATTAACTATGGGAAAACTTTAAAAAGGAAACTATGGTAGGACTCCCATCTGTGACTATGTGCACAGGGAAACAATGTAAATGGTGGATATTGTTTTAATCAAAAGGTGTAACAGACTGGGAGAACAGGGAAAATGCAAGCAAAGGAAGGCTGTTCAAGAAAATGAAATCCTCCACCCGTGTAGAGGTTCAAATTAATAATCAGAAAATAAACATTCTCCTTAGAAATATAGCGATCTGTACAAGCAAGAATCAGCAGCTCAAAGAATTGAAAATGGCTATGGCCAGAGAGGCTGTGGCAAAAGTCTGAGGTGTGGAGAGCACAGCCTCTGGCTTGTATCATCAAACTATCACAGTCCTCTTTCACTTCTCAAACCATGTGCAGATTCGACGTGAATTTTTTTTAGAATTGCCACATTCTGCTAGTCTAATTACTTAAAAGTGGCAAAACAGTAGGGAGGTCTTTTGGACTCACACTAGAGATGAGCTAATAATTTAAAAGCATGTTTACCCAGGGGCACCTGCAGCTCAGTTGTTTAAGCGTCTGCCTTCGGCTCAGGTCATGATTCCAGGGTCCTGGGATTGAGTCCCGCCCCGGGCTCCCAGCTCAGGGGGAGCCTGCTTCTCCCTCTCCCTCTGCCACTCCTCTGCTTGTGCTCTCTCTCTCTCTGTTGAATAAATAAATAAAATCCTTAAGAAAAAAAAAAAAGCCAAAAGCCCTTAAGTAAAACAAAAGCATGCTTATAAACTGATCTGAGATAAGCAAAAAAAATCCAGCATAACACACTCATCACATCATCTGTGGATGAGATTAAGCTTTCAGGGAAATGTTATACAACACAGAAAAATAACTTGAAGGAATAAAAATCTAAGTCTTCTATTTGATTGGAAGCACTTAGTAACAAGTACGAATTCTGCCTTGGGAGGTGAAACAGTCTGGTCAATCCCGCTGGTGTGACTGAATAGAGACGGAAGAAATCATTGATATGGTTAAACCACTGAACCAACAAATATTCACTCTGGGGAAATAAGGTCCAAAGTATCAGTAACTGTGGGCAATTGACTTTATTCAGCCAAAGGATTATATTAATATGTACTTTATTTGTTGTGCTCCTGGCCCCCGCCAAAAAGAGAAAGGGAAAGAAAATAAAATTTGGAGATGTCCGTTAGTAAAGATAATGAGGAAATAAGTGGTATTCACAAAATACTTTTTAAAAATTGATTTTTAAACGACGGTAAACTCAGTAAAATGCACAGACTTTAAAGTGCAATAAGCTTTTCTAACCAACTTTAACCTACAAGTAATAAACTATACATTTAAACGTTTCTCTACATTATAGTAGCAGGGGGAAATATAGGCATGCTCTGAATACAAGTATTTTTATTTCATTTAGTAAAATAAAGTGCCAGGTTTACAGGCTTGAACTGGAGGAGTGATACAGTACCTTTAAAGTTAAAGGTAACTACTAACAGTAGTTTGGAAGTAAAATGTACTAGATCAAAAACCTTTACAGAATTACAGCAAAACAAAATCTCTACATTATGAGACTGTAACAAAGGTAAGCTAACTTTCCAAAGGCTGTAGAAAAAGCAGATTACTGACTAATGAACAAGTTTAAGGAGACTTCTATCACCAGCATAAAATATCCCTAGATCATTTATTTTATTTTTAATTCATGAAAGACAGAGAGAAAGAGAGAGAGAGGCAGAGACACAGGCAGAGGGAGAAGCAGGCTCCATGCGGGGAGCCCGACGTGGGACTTGATCCCAGGGTCTCCAGGATCACACCCTGGGCCAAAGGCGGTGCTAAACCCCTGAGCCACCCAGGCTGCCCCCCTAGATCATTTATTATGCCAATCAAGATGAAATAATCTAACAAGTGTGTAGAATTTCCACCCAGAGAAAGTAAAACAAATAATAAATAAAATAAAATAAAATAAAATAAAATAAAATGCCTTAAAGGTAATGATGAGAAGATGAATGCAGGGTAAATCTGGGAG